ACTTCCAAGCATTAAATTCAATTGGTCAAGATTTTTTAGCAAGCTACGAGCATTTAAGTGTATAATGGAAAAATTTATTTTGTCGCTAAGGGGAGCTACTCGACTATTTATATCATCCTCGGCCAAGTAACTACTTGAGGGCAGACCAGCAATAAAATTAGAATCGGGGTTCAGATGACTGGAAAGTGAGTTGGATAACTCAGGTTGCTCTATAGGATTAAATAAGAGTGTTTCAAGACGGTTGCTATTGAAATTTAAAGGGCCATGGGATAACTCATAGAGTGCTAGGTTAAAGGAACTATTATCTAAATGATTAAAAGGAAAGAGAAATTCCAAATGCGACTCGTCAGCCATCATAGTGACGGCTAAGTTCAGCTAGAAATAAAGTGTCAGTTGCTCAGGAATTTGTGAAAGGTACTTAACTCATGGGTAAACCCCCCTGATTTGCAAAGTTCACAAGGTCGTTGTGGCACTTGATTTGGATCGGGCGACAATCTTCGGTTCGTCGAAGATAAATGATAAAGTTCTTGGCCCAGCAGAGCTTGAAGCCATTTCTCTTTTGAAATTTCTTTGAATCCGCCAAGAGTTGCTGAAGCAAGGGAGTAAGGTGATCAAATAGCCTGACGTTTTCCAAGGAACAACTGGACGGTAGTCCGATCGAATTGGCCGACACTTTACAAGCTTCATTTCGTGCATTCATTACTTGCTCTTTCATAATTCTTCTTGTGAATTTGCAGACAATTGGTCGAGGGCCAGAAGTGGCAATTCTGGTAGGGATGCGATGGGCGATATCGATGTCTTGATTTGAAATTTCAATTCCAGCGGCTTTGAAAAGATTGATACACAGGGAGGCAGTTTGGGAGGCCGATTCTTGCGTCTCGCTTTCTGGAAGGCCAATAATCTTAATATTGTACTGGAAACTATACCTTTGCAGTTGTTCAATTGAATCTCCGATCTTAAGACAGCAAATTTAAGCGTGACCAGAGCTGTTTAAGACTATTCACAGATTCTGCTCGTAGATCATCGTATGATTTTCCATAAAATTCCAAGGTGCTTAGGGACTCAGCGTCCGTAATCAAACGAGTAGGTTGTTCGCCGCCATTACTGGTGACTTGTGGATCGTGTCGTTTGATGGACTGCTGTAGCTCTTCCAAATTTCGTTTAAGAGCGGGGATTTCATCCTTGAGGCTGTCATTTTCCTTTTTTAAAGAGCTTACTGTCACATTAGGCATGGCTGAATAGCATATTTGAAGCAGTTAGTCAAGACCTAAGGCGGAGCACTTAAAGATGCGTCCGCACGGCTTCGCGACCACTGAAACAGGGGAATGCGAAATGTCTCAGGTGGATACAATGTTCCATTGTGTAGAAGCAACGCTGCAGAACACATCTTTCTAACGGTGGAAATATCGATCCAAATTCTCAAGTGTCCAACAATAATTGTTCAAGTGTCCTCCAGTCGACCATTTTCTCGGATGCTGGTACCAGTCTATTTTCTCCAACGTTGTGATTGGAGGCTTGGTTACCGTAATGTTATTGGAGAAAACCGGTGACCTAGGTGTTACGAAAACAAGACCTAAGACCCGTCTTATTTTTCGAGATTACGAAAACTAAGACCCCCTAAAATCGAATCCGTCGAAATATGAAGTCAAATTGTAACCGAAATAGGTCTAATCTGTCAAATTATCTTCAGTCCGATTCTTTCCACCGAGTTTTAGGTCAAATTTAAAGGTAATCCGTAAAACAACCAATAACTATCATCTACGCGCTGACGATCCGCTTCTTCAAAAAATTTGGAGACATATCAGTATTGAGGCTTCAAAAAGAGGATGAAAAGCCATAGACTACCACCCCGCCGATTGTTCTGAGATGGATTTTTGCCTCTGTCTTTGCGACCGTGATTGCGTTACTACCGAAACAGGTAGACTGTTTTTTCGCAGAGCCCTCGTGATTTTATCCCTGACGCCTCAAATGTAAGTGCACGTGATCGCATTCCTTCACATTCCTGAGAATTAAACGATGGCGGCTTTTGCATAGACTGCGAGCAGTCCCTTAGGATGGTCACGCGAGCGAGGAAAGCGCGAGCGAGGAAATCGAGCGAAGCTAGCGAAAGCCGAGGGGAAGCTGAGTTTCCATCTCGGCCAGTTCGCTCTCTCCAGTCCTGCCGAGCTTAGACTTGACTGACTGAAGAGGGACTGCTTGCAGTCTAGCTTTTCCATAAACAAACAAGGAAGGTCTTATATCCGTGGTAAAGACATACTAGACGATAGCTTGCGATGTGTGATAATCGATTCGATCATAGCTAAAGAAATACTATAGATCACTTTTAGCTGGATCATGTTGTATTACTAAACGAAAGCGGATAAGCGACGATAGACAGCCAAAGCGCGAGCAAAAAAATGCGAAGGAATGTTATCACGTGCGTTTGCCTTTGGAGCTAACATGTCTTTAGACACGTGACCAAAAACGATCACCTTTGTCGCTAACGGCAACTGTTAGGTACGTCACCTAAAAATCACCCCAGGGTGTTTTGTTTTTATTGCTGGTTTTCAGTGTCATGCCATCCAAAATAGATCAAAAATAAAAATCAAAACAATTCGACAGATAAAGTCCAGAATCTGGGAAATGAAAGGAGGTAAATATACAAAGACCCTCGCCAAGATTTGGGTCGAAGGAATAATTTGTATACGACATATTCGAGGAAACGTTTTACCCAAATTTATAGAGCTTTGCATGAAGACGCCATGCTGGAGCTCATCCGGATGAGCTCCAACATGGCGGACGACAACCAACAGAAACATCTATTACCGAGTTTTGATACAAAAGCGTGAATTTACTCCTAGAGGAATGTATAAACATTAAAGTAATACTTTTTCTAACACTTGAACTGTCGGCAAAATTCCTCGAAAAAAGTCACCTTTAACCTAAATGACAGCTCTCTCGGCTGTCATGTAAATGCTGCGTCACGCAAAAGCTTAGAAATTCAAGCGTACTCTATTACAAAACCAACAACCCTTTTGAAGCGAAAACTTGTTTGAAAATTAGTTTTCAGCTGCTCTAATACACCATGAAAGTAAAATCTCAGTAGACTCGATAGTTTTGTAGTTTGAATTTGAATTTGTAGTTTGAATTTTGTTGTTTGACTGGCCAGAAAAGTGGATCGCCAGCACGCGGATGATAGTTTTTGGTTGTTTTACGGATTATAGTCTTTGAACAGTCGTAATTCGACTTCATATAAACTTTACGGATTGGTTTTGTAGGGGGTCTTAGTTTTCGTAATAACGAAAACTAAGAGGGGTCTTTGTTTTCGAAATTACGAAAACTAAGACCCCTAAATTTACCGTTAAATTTGACCTAAAACTAGGTGGAAAGAATCGGACAGAATATAATTTGACAGGTTAGACCTATTTCGGTTACAATTTGACTTCATATTTCAGACGGATTCGATTATAAGGGGTCCTAGTTTTCGTAATCTCGAAACCTGAGACGGGTCTTAGGTCTTAGTTTTCGAGGGTCTTAGTTTTCGTAACACCCAAAAAACCTTGCTTTACTCTTAGGGACATTACGCATGAATAATAACGCGGAACTGCCTCTGAAATCATGTGATGAGCTGCTCATGAACGAGTATGAAATTTATCGCGAACGTGGTTCAGTGCAGTTCGGAATTATCTTAAGTTCAAGCTTTTCAAGGTAAGTTTTTATGCTAAGTGTCGAAACCGAAAGGTTTGCCATGGAGATTTTACATCGAGTCATGCATGTAGTTTGCAATTTAAATTCATACACTGGCGTTTGCTAGAGGAATGTTTAACTCGCGGGCTTACGTAATTAATTTTGTTTGGCGTAGTAGGTATGCTAAATCAACTTGTACGTTTCTCTTTTTACCTCTGCATGCATTTATTTACATGGATGTGCGATGTAGAACGATTTAACTACAGCGGAACCTCCCATAAGCGTAACTGCAGTATCCATTTCCGATGATAACTGTTTCCAGTCCCCCTTTTTTCTGATCTACTCGTAGGGTTCTTTCCATTTTGTCAAAAGTTTTGGAAATTTCGGTTGAGAAATAAATGGAATGCTTCACTTCCGTGTGGAAATTTTCTGGTCAAAGCACAGGCTGCCCAAACTCTGTGGGAGTTCGTCGGACTTCCAATTTATAAGAGAATGTATGAAAATTTACAAAGTACGTTGTTGGGCTACCTGTGGTCAAAGTGGTCCATTTCCGGTCGGTCTGATCCGATTGAAACTTGCTGTTCCATGTCAAAAAATTCTTGTTTCCATTTCTACTTCGCCAAGCAGTAATCGAACTTTCAGTCAAAACTGAATGGATCACTTCGATTTGTTTGGTAACTTTGGGCGCTTTCCATTCAACCAAAAAGTCTGGTTTGCATTTTCGGCAACTTCCAGGAGAGAATTGCACAGCATTTTCCAAAATTTTTAAAAAGAGGACAACCTTGCAAGGCATAACCAGATCTTCGGAAACTTTTTCCCTGAAGTTTACTTTCCATTCAACTTTGCTCTCAGAATTTCTAGAATTTTTGGTTGTATGGTTCGCATTTCAAAATTTCAACAGTTTGTGGAATTTCTGGAAACTTTCCTGGGAAATTTCTGTACAATTTGCCTCTGTTTCCAAATTTTCAAAAATTTTAGTTGAATGGAAAGCGCCCTTTGTTTCAATCAATGTCGTTCCATTTTCTCCTTATAATTTTACTGGTTTGGCTGCCTGTTTGGTTTGGTTTTGTTTGGTTTCATATAAAACACTCACACACTCACTCATCCTCTTCATTCCGGCGGGGGTGTAAGGCGGTAGTCAAATTTCGCCACTCTACCCTGTCCTGAGAGTCCCTGAAAACTGTCTTCAGTTAGTGACTATTCCCCCTTGTTTAATTTTGTGCGGTGCCCATATTCAAGAGAAAACCTAGCGGGCACCTTTTTCCACACAGATATAGTAATTATTAATTATTATATTGTAATATATGATATCTGTTATTTATCTTTTACACAGGTAAACTGACAGTGGATGTGAAGACGTAAGGGTGTATCTTCTTTTCTAGTAAAATATTGATCTCTCCTGCTTGAATCAAACAGGTTCTTGTACAACGTAGTGTAGTCATGGGAAGAGCAAACCAATTTTCACTGTTAATGTGGAAAAATTTCATCCTTCTTAAGAGAGCCCCAGTGCGAACTTTTCGTCAGATTGCAATACCTCTCTTTTCCATAGCCATCCTAGTCTTTCTGCGAGCTTTCAAGATAAAGAATGAGTACAAACCAAATGTCACGTACCCTGCCTTTGAGGTGAATAAACTTCCATCAGATGTGTCGAAACTCAATCGAATTGCGTTTGCACCTAACACTAGTGATGTACAACAAGTTATGGACAGGGTGGTGAAGCAGCTTGGATTTACACATGCTGAGCCCTTTAAAAGTGAAGAGGATATGGTTAGTTCTTTAGTCAGTTTACAAGGCAATGAAAAAACATTCCTCGGAGGAATTGCCTTCAATACAAGTCTGGACAGTAATAATATTATATACAAGATCAGACTGAGCTCAAAGACTGATATAAAGCAAAATGGTAGCAAGGAAGAAAGGCAAGGGTTTGGTACAAGTCCTTCTACAACCTGGAATACTCAGTTTACATTTCCAGTTTTACAAGATCAAGGACCAAGGAACAAAAATGCCTCCCACGGTGGCCCTCCATTTTATTTTGAAGCTGGATTTTTGGCAATTCAGCATGCAGTGAATGTTGCTATCATGAAGTACCGGTACAAAGGGAAGACTGATATGCTGAATACAACAGTGTCAGTGAAGCGGTTTCCATATCCTGATTACACTCATGACAATTTTGTTCAAGTGATACAAACTAGCCTTCCTCTTCTTTTGACGTTATCACTTATTTTCATTGTCTGGACCATAGTCTGCGATGTTGTCTATGAAAAAGAGAAAAAATTAAAGGTAAGGAAATTCAATTTCTATTTTTATTGATCATTGTTAATAACATATGACGGCTCTTCATCCATGGCCCTGAGCAGTAGTTGCTCTCAGATTTAACAGTCACGTAGAAAATGTAAATTTCCAGTGGAATATAATCTATGCATGACCAATGCATTCAGCATCCTCCATTGGAACACTTTTCTACCCCTCATACAACATAATTAGCATTTTTTTTCAAGTCTCTTGCAAACAGAAAACAAAAACCTCCAGTGGAATCTATTCATGTTCAATGGATTCCATACAATAAGGTAACAAAGGTAAGACTTTTTACCTTTTCACCACTACACGCAAAGTTTCTTGTCAAGGAAAGTGATATAACAATGGCAAGGAATCCAGACCTAACATGTAATCTGCCACATTTATACTAACGCTGGCTGCCAAGGTTAAGAAATTTGAGTGTTGTAAATAATAAAAAAGGAACAGGTATTGATAAAAATGGAGGATCTAATTTGCTGATGTGCTGGTGTGCAGGCTTGACTTGATCCTGTAACTCAATCAAACCCTGTGCCAATCGATCCTAACACCTCTAGTTGGACCTGCACCTGCTCCCAGCAAATAACTATATTAACCCAAGGGTTGTCCAATACTGAAAAACTAGACTCTAGATGTATCCCAGCACGCAAAGAAAGTAGTGTCCGATAGCCTGGAGCTAGTGGATTTTGCTATTGGGCTAGTGAATTCTGTTATTAACTTGCCCGATAGGCAAATGAATTTTTCGAGGAATTCAAATTACAGAAGAACTGTGAAATCAATCTGCTCATCAAAACGTTTTTTGGGCTAGTTGAAATGATATTTGGGCTAGTAAATGTTGGCTTTAGCTTGCCCGAATGGCAAGCTGTAAAAATGACTTTCTTTGCACCAGTATCCCCTTGCTTTCCTTTGGAAAACCAGTATTCACAACGTCTCTCTTTACTTGATCCAGTTGTATAAATGGATAGTAGTCTGGAAACATTGCTTGTTGGGTTAACCCTAAGTTGGACTATATATAGAATCCTATCCAAGGGGAATTGGTGCAGTAATTCTTGCTTTTATAGACAATGAGTTTAGCCAGCCCCAGCTACATGCACCTTGACATCTCCCTTTTACATTATATTCATTGATAGATTTGATCAATTTTAAAACAGGTATTGATTTTACCTAATTTGACAGGAATCCATGAAGATGATGGGACTGAGTGGCTGGTTACATTGGCTTGCATGGTTCACAAAATATTTCTTGTTGCTCCTTATCATTATGGCTTTTGCAACCCTTTTCTTTACTGTAAAATTCAACTCCAATGGCCGTGTCCTGAACAAAACTTCTCCAACTGTTCTGTTTGTTTTCCTTATGCTCTATGCAGTCTCTTCCATTATGTTCGGCTTCTGTGTTAGTGTATTCTTCTCCAAGGCAAACGTTGCTGCAGCTGCTGGAGGGATCATCTGGTTCTGCAATTACATCCCATACTTTTTTGTGGCACAGTACTATGACACAATGAGCGTAGGCGCCAAGGCTGCATCGTGCCTTCTCTCCAATGTCGCAATGTCAATGGGAGCTCAGCTGATTGGCAAATTTGAAGGAGCTGGCATCGGATCTCAGTGGTCAAATCTTAACCATGGACCTTCTATCTATGATGATTTTACTCTTGGTCTTGTCATGATCATGTTTGTGGTAGATTCCTTGATCTATGGTCTTATCGCTTGGTGCGTTGAGGCTGTTTTTCCTGGAGACTTTAGTGTTCCACAGCCGTGGTACTTTCCCATTTTACCTAGTTACTGGTGTGGTAAAGGCAAAGAGGTAAGGTTGAGGTTTTAGAAAGCTTGGTGTCTACAATCATTAAACTACTTAGATAATCTAAGGGATGTAGGAGGGGGGATGGGGGTAGTGATCATGAATGTTTGAAAACCAAGTAGCGCTGGTGACTGGTTGTTTTGCCTATGAGTCATTTTGCTGATGTCCGCTTCGCTGTGGTCTTCATTTGTTCCGCTTAAGAAACTGAACCAGTGATGCAGATGTATATACTTCCTTCTTTAAGCCATGACACCAAAAAGTGTGACACCAATGCATACATACCTGGTTTGCTCTTTAAGCCACTGATTACTCATCAGGCAAAAGACCTTAGGGAACTGATCTAATGTGTTAGTGAATTGACTAATGAGGTGAGCTAGCAGGATTTGGCGAAATGACAAGGAGTGCGACAATAAATCATAAGGTCATGGTTAGCACATACTTTTCCTCTATCAGCCATAACACTTTACATCTGTCTTGCCCCCATTATAAACTCCTGCTCCACTGCTGCTCTTTTCATCGTCTTTAGATGATAGCATTATTACTATTCTTAGACTTGTACTGCTGATTGCACATGGCCAACCATACCCTAAAAGTTACTCACGCCTTTATGTTGCTTTTAATTAATCTTTTAAATTTCTACTTATTTTTTATAGGTGGAGATAAAAGAGTTCTATGACTTAGAAAATGGCTCCAGCCAAACTGGGATGTCAGCACCAGAATTCTTAGAAAAGGAACCAGTGGGTTTGGTGCCTGGGATTGAAATTAAAAACCTCAAGAAAGTGTTTTCTACTGAAAAAGGTTTGACTTGAGTTAGTTATTTCTTCATATATCAGGGCTCTGCTCTAAAATCACCTTGAGGCGACCTAGAGACCCAGGCACCTTCATTTGGCACTGATTGGGTGCAGACTAGGATATATCTTTGACGATTTAACTTAAGAATCATATGCTGGGCACCCTGGATTTCACAGGCTCAGCGCACTCTACAACTATTATTTTTCTTAGAGAACAGCTTTTCACATACATGTTATCATTATTAGATAAACGTGTCTCTGCTATTTTATGTGAGGCAACACTAACTTGTGTGTAAGTTGTTTGAAGACAATTGAATACAGACAGGGCAAGCAAAAACTTAATGCCATCATGTATATACACCAAGTTGCCAGGAGTTGCCAAAGTTTTATCATAAGGTTACAGTGTAAAGAAATCCAGATTGTAATCTTCATAAGCAGTGGCCGATCTAGGAGAATGGTCCCCACCAACCAAGCCCGAGAGAAAGTATTTTTTAAGAGGGGTTACAAAAAACTACTGTTATCTCAGGGTATTGACGAGTGGACCCAATTATCTGAAGTCCTGGATTTACAAGTCATAAGTTACATAATCAAATTATGATAACTAACTTTCCTTGTTTGATTTCAAAAATCCTGTTTTCATTTCAATCTTTCCAATGTGTGCTTTTTAACTTTATTTTATTTTTTCTTATTACGTAGGAAAGAAAGTTGCGGTTAATGGAGTATCACTGAACATGTATGAAGGCCAGATAACTGCTCTACTGGGGCAAAATGGAGCCGGGAAAACAACTCTTATGTCCATGCTGACAGGGTTGTTACCTGCTTCATCCGGCTCAGCTCTTGTTAATGGCTGTTCCATTAGAGAAAACATTCGTGGAGTGCGCAGCAGCTTAGGTAAGTTACGTGTACATGGTTGACTTCTAATCAAGAGAGGTTCTGAACTGCTATGATAGTATTGAAAACATAGAATCAAAGCTATTTTTGTTATTTGTGAGATGGTAGTAGGCTCGATTTCTGCCACTCTCTCGTCAGTCATCATCATCATCAATCATCAGAATCATTATCACCACCATTGTCACCACTAAAATCACCAGCATGACCAGCAATGTTTGGTTTTTTGTAAATCCCGAATAAAATAAACTTGTTGCTAATCAGAAAATTTTTGTACAGGCCTTTGTCCTCAACATAATGTGTTGTATGACCATCTGACTGTTGAGGAACATCTGTGGTTCTTTGCTAAGTTAAAGAACTGTCCATCCCATCGTGTACGGCAGGAGGTCAACAGAATGATTGAATGCATTGGACTTGCTGACAAGCGACATACACAGACCCGTGCACTGTCTGGTGGCATGAAAAGAAAACTGTCTGTTGGAATAGCACTTATTTCAGATTCCAAGGTTAGCATGGTTATGTCATCTTTCATCCCTACATGAAAATTTCACCTCTAGAAAATTATTTATTTGTGTATTGAAAATAACCTGTATAATCAAAGACCCTCCGAAATACTTAAATGATAGATTTACTTACGCTTTCGCATACTTAAACTTATGAATTCCGTACCTTTTCATATACTTGAAGCCTGAAAAAGGAGCTTCCCGTCTAGGGAGTGCCCCCCCCCACACACACACACACACACACACGGGGAGAAGCAGCGCCGTATTCATTAGCCGCCATGACCTTGCAAGCTTCTGCTAGTTACCTGTAGTTTAAACAAACAGCGATGATGATGATGATGATGATGATGCCATTGAGTCTTATTTATTAACAGGTTGTAATGCTGGATGAGCCAACATCTGGCATGGACCCCTCAGCACGCAGATTCACCTGGGATTTGCTACAGCAGCAAAAGCAAGGAAGAACTATACTTCTTACCACGCACTTCACGGACGAAGCTGATATTCTTGGTGGCAGGATCGCCATTATGGCAGAAGGAAATATCAAATGCTGTGGATCTTCCTTCTTCCTTAAGAACAAGTACGGAGTGGGCTATCACATGGTTATGGTAAAGGAGCCCCATTGTGACGTATCCAAGATTTTATCTGTGGTGAGCGGTCATGTGCCTACAGCAATGTTGGAGAGTAATGTTGGTGAGTCCGTCTGAAATTACCACTCTCTTACCACTTGTGATATCGTCAACGACGACGCCGACGGCAGTGAAAACATCGCTAAAAATGAATTTACGTCCTTTCAAACTTATTCGCGTCGTTTTGGACCCGCTCTATTTGTCAAATGAAGGCCATTTTTCCTGGAGTCAAACTCTTGAGGACTTAAATATCCAGGTTCAAAAAGAGAAAGGAAAAATTCGTCCACGTATGTTCACGTCCTCCATAAAACCATAGTTAAACGTTGGCATTAGGAGGTTTCTTGTCGTGTCAAGGAAATGTACCAAAAAGCGTGATGCACGTGCAGAGCAGTTGTTTTGCTCATAAAACCAATTCTTTTGGACGTTGTCGTTGTCGTCGTCGTCGTGGTATCTACTCTACATGTATCTCTACATGTATGTGTTTTTCAAGTTAACCCTTTTAATTTCTAGGCCATGTTGTGGTGAGATTATTTATCACTTACCGTAAAATTCCGAAAATAAGCCCCAGGGCTTATATTTTTCAAAGGCCCTTTTTGAGGGGCTTATTTTTGGAGAGGCTTATCTACGGAGGGAAATTTGCGTTTCAAAATCGATTGGGATAGCCTTATAGTTGGAAGTAAATTTACCGTTTTTGCTTTGTTTTACTTTGTATTTGAGGGCAATTTCCAAGTACAAGCCCCCGGGGGGCTTATATTTGGAGGGGCGATTTAACGGAGGGTTTTTTTCGTCACGAGTTTGGAGGACTTATACATGGAGGGGCTTATTTTCGGAATTTTACTGTAACCTTTTAATCTTAGGACGAAATCCTATCGTGTTACCATTCAAATTAAACCTTTTTGGCAGAACGTTTGCATAGTACGATTTATTTCGTAGGATTTTACAAAAAGAAATTTGAATTACCGGTATTTTGTAATTTTTTTCCCTGGCTAGCATGATTAGAAGTAAAGGGTTGAACGTGGTAGAACACTCACGCTCATATTACAAACCATACAAACCTGCCAGCGACAAGAAGCAAAAGAGAACAGTGCACGTAATTCTTACAATTTGTGTTCTTGTTCTTTGAGCAGGTGCTGAGCTATCATTTGTTGTGCCAAGTGAAGCTACAGATAAGTTCGAGGGGCTTTTCTTGGAGCTGGAAAATCGCCGGCAGGAGCTTGGCATCGCTAGTTACGGTGCTTCAGTTACTACATTGGAAGAAGTGTTTTTCAAGGTTCTCAGCACACTCAGCGATAAACTACAAAAAAGGGATCAAGAAGGTTGGTTATGATTATGATAGAGAAAATATGTCTTTTGTTTTCTTTTTAAAGGCTGGGGCTATGTTACGCTATTTGCTATCTTTTCAAAAAGATAAAATGTGTCGTTACATCAATAGAATTCCAGAAATAATGGTACAGTTGTGTTATTTAAAAACTATACTTGGGCATTGAAACTGTCTCCTGTCGTCTGTTGCTACGGATGGCAGGATGGACATGGGCCACCCACGAAGAAGGTGACTCGCAGGAGAAGAAAGAAAATGAGAGAGTACTGGACTAAGCTTATGTGTTTGACCCTTCATGGTCGTTTGATTTCTTCCCGGGGGGGTACTTCCGCGAATTTTGGATAGGGGTGTGCCGCGAAGGTTCGTAAACCTAACCTTATTTAAGGACTAAGAAAGCGAAAACTGATACCCTTTTTAAGGCCGAAAGCCGAAAAATGACACCCTATTCAAGGAAAAAAACAAAATTATTAATAGCATGAAAAGGAAACCTTTATTATTTGGTGAGTAAGCTTCATGAAGGTACCTACTGTGATACTTCGTTTGATTCCTCAGAGACTTCCTCAATAAATAGAATGCAAGTGAATGGAAAAATCCCAAATGGGACAGAACGATCGGTGTTTTCACGACTGGGAACATTCGGAGCAGCGTCTGGTGGCTATGGCACTTTTAGCGACTACGATAACTACACCCACTCTTCTGGGTTTCGTCTGTTTCGTCAGCGGTGGTACGCAATGTTTGTTAAGCGCCTACTTCACTCCAAACGTCACAAGCTGTCCCTTATTTCACAGCTTCTCCTTCCACTGGTGTTTACGCTTATTGCACTCATTAATGCCAAGAATTTTCCTCAACCCACTGACTCACCGCCTCTTGATCTGACTACACATAACTACCAGAACAACTTCGTTCTTTGGGCTTCAGACGGGTAAGTGTTGGCTTCTGAAGTATTCTAGTCTCCTGACTTCGTAGCCGTTCTTTGTAGGGAGGAGCGTTGCGTGACGACACTGCGGCTACTTTCGGCTGGCGAGATGCGACGACCGGAAATACGTCTGCGTCCGCAGGCTACTGCGTATAAGACTAGAACTATCCGCAGTTAGAGCACGATGATTTGAAGGGGGGTGGGGGGGTATGGTGACGTGGGGTTATCGTGGCATGGGTGGGAAGGGGAATGATGTGTGAAAAAGCGAGTTTGACAAATGGATGGAAAGTACAGAGAAAAATAGGAATTTCATTTCCGTTCACTCTTAGGTCTCCATGAGCCGAAGAAAGCAAAGTTATCGAAAAAGGTCTAGTTTAGATTTTGTTCCGAGCGTGTCCCGTAGTTTCTTGATGGGAAGTCTATACTTTTGTAGTAAGTTGGAAGAGGCGTCAGTTCATACAAAAGCCAAGAGCGAAACGAAAAACAAAACTTGCTTGTATAACTAAATTTTCTTCTATACCTTTTCCCTAAAAGAGCAAAGTCGCTCTGGAAGGAGATATCTCTTGTTACAAGCAAATAGAAAGTGTGTTTAGTTACTGATTGTTCGCTGATCTTCTCCTCAAACAAATGTAAATACACAACACCGAAATTGACATTTTAGATCTCGCTGAGCTCAGGAGCTTGATCTGTTAGGTGTGAAGTCATATCATAGTTGTTTTTTTGTTTTCCAAATATAGTTCTTCAGAGACAAACTTGTTAGCCGAAAATTTCCGAACTCAGTGGCCTGGTGGCGATACAAAGCCTGTTCAAGTGACCGGTGATATGGAAAAGTACTTAACGACCAAAGCCACGAAAGATGGACTTGGAGGCTTTAACAAGCATGATTTGATTGCTGCTACTTTTGCAAAGGAAAATGGGACAGGTAGGATTTTTTCTTGGGAGTTATCCAACTCAAGTCATATTTCTAGAAAGTTCAAAAACACGGACCCATATCTTTCGACAAAAGAAATCAAAACCAGACCACTGCAAAGTACCTATCCAGTTCTGTAGTAAAGGGAACCAGACTTCGTCACACTGACAACTGTATTTATGCATGCTTTCTCTGAGCAAATGGTGAAACCATTAAAAAAATATGAAAAGACAATGAAAGGAGCTCCAATTCATTATTTGAACCCCACAGAATTGTCTTGAATTTGAAGGAAACCTCAACGCCAGATGGGCATCTGCAATATCACCGGCTCGAATTCCATCGGAGAGTTATGGCGATTTTTTTCTGTGAACCTTGGTGGTGACGTTAAGAGTTATATTTTTTCTTTATTTTTCAAAAACGTTTGAGCACCTAATAAAGAACGTAGACCAGCGGCTGGCCATGTTGGCACTAAGGGAGGGGTGGGTTGGTCAGATAGCCCATTGCCTTGGAAGGTTTCCTGATCTTTGTTCATTTCACTTTGTTTCTCAGTTAATGTTACGGCGTGGTTCAACAACCAAGCTTACCATGCTATCGCCGTGTCACTTGCGGCTGCCGACGGTGGTATACTGCGGTCTGTCCTGGGAAAAAACGTCTCCATGACAACTGTAAACCACCCGTTGCCAAGTACAGCTCAAGAATCCATCAACGATTTACAGCGGTAATGCTAACCAACACATTAAACCCGTCTAGATTCTTCTATAACACAGTCTGTGAACTCTTCTTTCCTCTCTTTTTTCTTTCCTGTTTATTCTTTGATTCACCCGTCCTTTTCCAATTGTAAAATTTTTTAAACTTGGCCTCTTGACATCGTGGTTAACTGCTTATGTGAAAGTAGAGTTGCAGTGCATGCAGACACGAGGCACCAAAGACTGTAGAAAAAGTTTGTTCTTTTGTCTTAGTCCACTTTCGGGTAAAACTCTACCCAGGTTATCAACCTTAACGGGAAGCTGCAGGCCGAACACATCTTCAGCCAAAGGCCGCAGCCACAAATGGCCAAGAGGCGAGAAAAAAGTAGGTCACTGTATAGACTTGACCGAAACGGGAAATCGCACATGAAAACTTCTCTGGTATGTAGGTTAGTGAATTTCCCCGCTCATTTGATTGTAATAATTTCATTATTTTTATCGTTATAATTATTCCATTTACTGCAGTAATATACTCGGCTGCCAGATCTCCTCCAATGTGTTAGTTGGCATGGCTTTTCTGGCCTCCAGCTTTGTAGTGTTTCTTGTTCAAGAACGAGCAAACAAAGCGAAACATGTGCAGTTTGTCAGCGGTGTTGACCCATTTAGCTACTGGGATTCTGCCTATACCTGGGACCTTATCAATTTTCTGCTCCCGTCCCTGTCGATTTTGATCCTTGTAGCAGCTTTTGACGTGCCACCCTACACTGGTAAGTAAATTATTTATTTTGAAAAGCCTACAAGGCAATTGCGAGGCTTAAAGCTCTCACATTTCCATCATTAATCGTCCATAGAAATATTTTCTGTGCTGAGACGTGAACTTCGAAATGGATATGGCATGTTATAATGCCGGAAAACTGGTTTTAACTGGAGCTGGGAACTCATACTACTGGGACTATGCCTAAGTGTTCGCTAACGCGAAATACGTTTGCATTTACCATTCTTTTTGCAGGGTAGGGGGCGAAGTCAATAGGCACGAATTTATGCTATTTTATGTGTCTTTTCATTTTCAAACTGCGGCAGGATTAGCGCTTGACTATAGAGCGGGAGGTCGCGGGCTCGATTCCAAGGGGTTGACCAATACCCAGGGCTCTTAAAACATATACATGCATTGACACTCAAATAAGTGTTTGTTTTTTTTTTTTTTTATCTAATCAACCATACAGTGCGTCAGTTTGTAATTTGAATCAAAGTTTTTTTCTTTTCTTTTAGGTCCCCGCTTAGGTTACTTGTTCATGTTACTGATGTTGTATGGCTGGGCCATCATTCCTCTCATGTATCTCTTCTCCTTCGTTTTCCGCAACGCCTCCACTGCCAATGTGGTTCTAACAACGTTCAACGTTATTACTGGCCAGGCTTGTCTACTGACTGTATTTGATCTAAGCATTCCAGGTAACTTGTCTTTTTTAAAAATCTTCCTTGTCAATGAGAGCCTTAAGACTTAGGACAAATTCAGACCAAAACGGTGGAAATTGATATGATGGTCGGAGGTTTTAGCTCGTAGTGCCGTGGAGTGTTAGGCCATGTTAAAGTTTGTTTCCTTTGGACCTACCCGAACTTGTCTGACCCGGCGTGGATGTGTAAAATAGCGCCGGGAAGATAAGCAAGGCGTTATGGTCACGCTACGGAAGTCGTCCGCCACGCCGATCGCGGAGCGGTGTTCCCCCCTTTACGCCATGTTTTGTTGTCATGGTTTTATTAGACTTAAATTTAAAGCCAAGCCAAAGGAAATGCAACATTAAAACCTCACCTCCTTTAACATATTGTTGTTGTTGTTCTTTATTTATTCAACCCTAGAACTTGATCTCCTGGACGTACCAAACGCTCTGAAATGGGCCTTCCTTGTTCTGCCGAACTACTGCCTGGGTCAAGGCCTATTTGATATATTTGATAACTACAATGCTCTGGATTTCTTTAACAAGGCTCTTGACAGGTGTCTTCATACCAAATTGCCCTTCTTTCACCCTACTAAAGCTGAGTGCGAAAAGCTCATTCGAGAATATGGCGGCAGTCAGTTGGAGTTTCAAGAGAACTACCTATCTTGGGACAACCCTGGTATTGGACGCTACCTGGTATTCCTGGCCTTAGAAGGGATCGTTTTCTACGCCCTTGTTCTATTAATTGAGTATGGGGTTTTCAACCGATTGACGGGAATCTTCAGGTGTAGTTTTTCCACGGTTGGGCTGAGGGGCGAAGAGTCTTCAGTGGCCGATGATGACGATGTTTTAGAGGAAAAAAGAAGGGTGATGTCATCAGAGAACATGGACGACGTGCTTGCTATTAAGGAGTTAACTAAGGTGTTCTCAGGAAATGGATGTGAGTACAATTCGCGGGTTTTTGTATCTTACGTACGTCCTGTCTAGGCATAATTCAGTAACAGGAAAATCGACAAAATTGACGTAGTGGTTTATGCCTGCGATGATCTTGTCCCAAGATCTCCTCAGAAAACCGTTAAAGACATAAGACAAGAATTCTTTCAAAAACATATTTATTTCACCAAGCTTTTTCTTAATTTATAATGAGATTTCTATTTAATTTTCATACTTATATGTAGTTGTTAGATTTTTTTAGAGTTTTAATACATTTTTCTAAAGCGCCTAGCCAGTTAATGATATAGACGCTATAAAAATAAAGCTTATTATTTATTATTATTATTATTATTATTATCCTCGAGTAATGAACGATGAACACAAAGGGTTTTGAATTCTGATTCTACTCTACTTAATATCTGCCAGACAATGAAATGAGGAAATCGATCCTTTAGACCTTTTTACCGATACGGCGGCCGTATTGAATTAATTCGATTTAAGGAGTATTATAGGATGCCCAGGGGGCATGAGTACATTTCGTTTGTATTTTCGAGCGCTTTTCGGGACATTTTTTCTTAAACTTTTCTTAATCTTATAAGATTCTAATGGGAAAAAAGATCCTTGTGCCGTGTTTGGATGAAATAATGATCGCCTTTTTCCAGAGAAATATACAGTGAAAGTCCATATTTTTAATACTAAACTAGGTAAAGACGATCATTATTTCATCCAAACACGGCACAAGGATCTTTTTTCCCACTAGAATCTTATTCTAAGAAAACTTTAAGAAAAAATGCCTCGAAAAGCGCTCGAAAATACAAACGAAATGTGCTCATGCCCCCTGGGCATCCTATAATACTACTTAAATCGAATTAATTCAATATGGTCGCTGCATCTACGTGGAAAGACCGTATATCCTGAAGAACTTTACGGAGACCTTTCCTCAATACCAAAACATCCATTTGAATCGTATGCTAGCTACTAGATTACTTAGTACTATATAATGGTAATAGGACTGAGTGGAGTCCAGTTCGATCTGTCATCATACAGCTGATCATGCGAGTGATAATCACAAATATGATTTTGTTGGTTATAGCATTGGTATTATTTAATGGTCGGGTAGCCTTGTTTGGAAACCATCTTAGGTGATCTCTATTATCGTGGATATAATTAATTGAGTAGAAACTAACTTAAAAAGTAAATAAGCCACGTTTTTTTCCCCAGGTCGTTCGCCATTGATAGCGGTGGATAGTCTGTGCCTCGGGGTTCCCATGAGAGAATGTTTTGGCCTTCTTGGTTTTGATGGGGCCGGAAAAACAACAACGTTTCGCATGTTAACTGGAGATGAGACCATGACATCCGGGACTGCTGTGGTGGACGGGTTTGACATCAGAGAGGATATGAACAGGGTGCGTTCATTGATTCTAGCCTCTCGAGGTTTTCTTAGTATTTTCAGTACATTCGACATAACTGCACTCTAACTAAAGGAAATGTAACATGGGACAATCCTCACTGCTCGACGATTTTCAGCGTTGCAATATTGTTGCGACATTGCTTGGAATTGTTAAAACATTGTTCGAAAATTGTTGTCCTAAAATCGCCGTTGCTAATCGTCTGGCGTAACATTGTTTAAATCAAACAAACCATAGATCAGATCATAGAACAGGATTCGCCTTGCTATAACAACGTTTTTTGTTCAGTTCTCTGCCCTCCACCAATCCCAACATTCAGAGCCTCTTTGATCAGAGCTGTTTTTCATATCCTTCTTTGAAAAGAACTTTTTGGCAAACTTTAACATGACACATGTGTTGCTTCTAGGCTCGCCAGCGCATTGGCTATTGTCCTCAGTTTGACGCTTTAATAGATCAGCTGACCGGAAGAGAGCTGCTGTATATGTATGCTCGGCTACGAGGCGTACCGGAAGTTTTGATAGCGGATGTTGTTAAGGAACTTATTCAAGCATTGCTTCTTCAAGATCATGCGGATAAGTTAACAAGTTCTTACAGGTATTTCTGATTTCGCCATTAATACGCAGTGAAACCTTGGGATACCCTTGCCTTTTTCGGAACTTAGCTGTGTGTGTCTCAGCCTGTTTCAGGCGTTTAGAGAGTTAGGAGCGGCGCGACGATAGCTACTTTGTGCCACTCCGAACAATCCAAAGGCCTCAATTTTCACCTCTGCAACCCATTTACACGGAACCGTGCAAATTCTCCTGCAGATTGCAGTGATGTTTGCGGTTGAAAACCTTGCACAGTTCCGCGGGTTCCGTGTAAACAAAAGGCGGATCCTTGCAAGTTTTTGTCGTTCAAAAATTTGTCCGGACTCCTGTAAACAGGGTATGAGTTTGCCGTTTCGTCAACTTGCAACAAAGCAGTTCCTAATTTTGAAATTAAAACCGACCAATGACAGCGAAGAAAAATCCTGCATATGAAGAGATAAACGAATCAGAGCTTACAACAGAAAAATGTAGCCGCCGCAAGGCGCGGGAAAACGCGGTTGGGATTATACTTCTGATTGGCTGATGTGTAAGTGGTGCAAATTATCTCAGCCAATCATATTGTGCGAAATCCTGATTGTTTTTTATGCAATGACCTATTTCTTGGCTTACAATTGTCCGAGTTTTGCTTTAATGTCATCTTAGGATACTTGTAGCCCGCGTTCGCTTTGTTCATTGTTACACTACTGGAAAACTTGCGTGCGAATCTTCCCAATCCTAGCTACTCTGTGAACTAGATGATATATCTATTGGTATGTGTTTGAATTTGGTGGCTTGTGAGTACCATTCGCGTAAAACCCGTTTTCCTTTGCCACTTTCTGATCTTATGCTTATTAAAACGCGGCAAACGTCGCCTTTGTGCAGAGCTCGTACTCATCTCCCACAAATGCTCGTTAATGGGGTAAAAAGTATCTTACCTCAAACAGTGGAGAAACACGGGGATCGCACAATTAAGCAGTCAATCAGGTGCCATTATTCAACGAAAACAAAAAAATTGGGGTTAGTAATACTTCAGTTCAGCTTGTCTATAAATGCCTATGTGAGGGACACGAATTAAGTCAGGGTTAAAGGTAGCATGTCGCAGGTTCCAAGATGGTAGCGTAGTGCAGTCGTGCAGTAAAAAGTGATGTGAAATACGCGCAGGGGCTGGGGAGAGAGATCCTTCCCTTCCCCAGATCCCGCGCGTGCTATTTTCCCTTTTCTTGTTTTGTATGAGAGCCTGGTACAGGCTAGGTTATGGGCTCCTCACTGAGTGATATTTTTAAACCTCTTCTCCCTAGTGGTGGAAACAAGCGGAAGTTGAGTACTGCCATATCGTTAGTAGGGGATCCCCCTGTGGTGTTTTTGGATGAGCCTACAACTGGCATGGACCCGATAGCGAGAAGACTATTATGGGATGCACTATCACGTGCTCGGGCTGATGGACGATGCATAGTGATTACGTCACATAGGTGAGAATGGTCCATGCTGAAAAGAAAATTGGGATGCTTGGAAAGAATGCTTTCATAGTCTTGGTTTTTAAAGGTTAAAATGTCGAAAAAAAGTTATGTTAGTCATTTGGGGATGTTTGCAGAAAGCGTCGAGGATTGAAAAATAAATTCAGTGCTTGTAAGCATTTGAAGCAAAGCAAAGAAAAGTTGAAGACACTGGCAAAAGATTTTTCTCTTCCCTTCGCATTTTGTTTTTTTCGGTTCCCCTCATTTCTTTCTTATTATTAGCGGTAATGCTTACAATCGTTTCTCCTTTATTATTCTTAGTATGGAGGAATGTGAAGCTCTGTGCACTCGGCTGGCAATCATGGTTAATGGGCGATTAAAATGTCTGGGAAGTCCGCAGCATCTTAAACACAAGTTTGGCGAGGGATACACGCTTCTAGCTCGAGTATCAAGCAACAAACCCGACACTGCACCACTGAAGCAGTTTATAGAGAGCTCATTCCCTGGAAGCGTTTTGAAAGACGAACATCAAGGCATTGTCCACTATCACATCCGCGATACCAGCATAACGTGGGCTCAGCTGTTTGGGGCAATAGAGAGAGTCAAACTGAACTTCAATATTGAAGATTACTCTGTTAGTCAGACAACCTTAGAGCAAGTATTTGTGAACTTTGCTCGAGGGCAGAGAGAGGAGGACAATTAATGGAATATGAACTATCATAGTTAAGACTATAGCCCTCGGGGGGAGGGGGAGCTACTGCGGTCAATTGTTGCTGCAACCTCGTCGCCAAGGAGCTTTTCCCTAGCTTTGGAGGTGGGGCCCACCTCCAACGCTAGGGAAAAGCGTCCTTGGGACGAGGCTGTTTTTGCTGGGTATGTGCTGCTGGCCTTTCAGAATCCCTACCCCATTATAGTCTATTGTGCGGCTAATTATAGTTCCCATCTTTGTCACTTTTGGTCGAATGTAATTTTCTTTGCCACTTTCTGTGTATGCATCTACCTTATAAAGCCTAGTAAGACAGTCATCCTGACTTTCAAATTCATGTGTCATGTGTCAAATTCCTAGATACAAAGATTTTCTTAATTTCAAACTCTCGAAAATTTGCGACCCTATGCAGCGGCACATCCCCATTAGCCAGCCTATTACAAGGAAGTACCCTCCCCGGGACTATATTAGATAGATAACTGTTAACCAATGAAACACTAGTTTAAAACAATTTTTATCCGCGCCATAAGACAGCGCCTTCTGAACTGAGTTATTTTTTATAGATATTTTAAATATTATTTTTTAAAGTCGAATTATTATTATAAAAATTTGAAAAGAGAACAAACCAGATGTAGTATAAATCATCGTGTAGGACAGTTAATGTCAAGTATAAATAAACACAATTAACTGCAAAAAATGAAAAGTTGCTAGATTTTTCCTGTGTCTTGCCTCAAGTGTTGCACGTATCTGTCTTCGAACTACTTTTTACCACTGTACAATGCAACCACCTTTGGTTTTCAACAAATCCGAACTCAGTTAAGAGAAAGACTGACCATAACTTTTGTAGTAACCTAGCTTGTTCACAATCCCCTGTGGATTTACCGACCATGCGCTGTCGAATTGTTAGGAATAATGAAAGAAAAACGTCTGTTGACATGCTAGCACCAACCACGATGACGTACAGAACTTGGTAGCCTGCTTAGCTTGCGAGATTTCGCTTCACAGTGATGGAAATACTTCGACAAATCCGCCTCTAAACGTACGGTAAAACGAGCAGAAAAAACAGGTAACTTGTTTTGCAATATTGCTGCAAAACGAGTTTAATAGCGGTGTTGCACGTTTTCCCACCCACGCATCAAACCTGTCGTGAAAGGTTATGGAAAGTTGTTGTAGAAAGTAGAGACTAGTTCTACTTTTTGTAACAAAATCTGTACATGTTGCACGTTTTAACGGCCCAAGGCAAACTTGTTTTGCAACTAGTGATGTAACTCTCCGGTGTATGGGGTGACTCCCGCGAAATTTTATCCAATCAAAAGTCAGTATTAACTCAATTTGCAACAACCTGATTTTGTTGCAAGACAGGTTTGATTCGTGGGTGGTAAAATGCGCAACACCGCTTTTCCACTCGTTTGGCAGCGATGTTGCAAAGTAAGTTGCAGGCTATTGTTGCCCGTTTTAACTTTAAGGTTGCCGTAGAACTCATCCCAGTAAAGTCAGTAAATGGTTAAGGGAACAGGCTACGCAGCCTGCCATGAAGATATAATGACTGATGCACTATATCTCGTCCTATAAAACCGTAATCTACTTCAAAGGGTACCATTACTTCGTGTTGAAAAATTCTCAGTTTAGATTTTAGCTTCTCCTTCAATTAATTATACTGTTATTGCTATAAATGGAGCTTTGTCTGCTTCGTTACGCTTGGGATAATCGCGACGAAGATATGACCGAACTCGAAATCACTTTCTGAATAGTGACGTTTTCGCTGCCTTTGCGATGATGCCATGTGATGAATGATAAATGAACACAACAACAGGATACGATTTGCGTCGGGATTGGGATTTGTCCTTGTTTCTTTGTTATTTACCCACCCATCCCACGTAAGGTTGACTTCACTGCCAGAGTCTTCTATTTTTTGATCATCAGTGTGGCTTCTAAAGTGCCACGAGACGGGGCCTAGTGTGTACTGCAATGTGAGTGTAAAAGTTTCTTTAAAATAACTAAATCAAAGGTTGAATGAGGTATTGCCTTAAAAAAAAAAAAAGTTGTCAATTTAACACTCCACTGTCATCTATTTACGGTTAAATATACCAACCAGCTCAACATTGGTATAAAGAAGGTTTGTCCTTGTATGTTAACTGTGGGTTCTTAACTCATATTACAGAGGCTTTTCAAGGGAGAAAGGTTAATAACAATCAATTCTTTTCAGGTACTATATCTGCTGTAAATCCCCCCTCCCCCCCCAAAAAATAGAGTTTCACAAAACTTTATGCTGAACCAACAGCAGCATTTTTTTCCAACCAACTTTACAGGCAGTCTCACTGAAAAGAACAACAAAGCAACAGCATACCCCCACCCGCCTCCTGGAAGGCCTTGTTATACATATAGATGGAAACAGGTTACACTGTTAAGAAGGACATCACCAAAAACAGTGATAACATAACAACCAAGGGAAGATGCTTAACTTACTCAAATCCAAAACAAAATTGTTGTTCACCTATTACTGAACATTTTCAGAAAGGGACAGTGTCGGCCTTAAAAAATCCAGAGCACACTTTTCTCATCATTGGAAAATAGAAATAAGTGGCCAAATTTCTTTTTAGTGGCTATGATCATTTTAATGATTAATTTTCTAGCACGCAGATACTATCCTCTTGTTTTTGGTCATGGATCATTTATGATAGGGATAAAGATGCCTTGTTAAAAACGTTAAAATAGTGTCAAAAGCCTCCCACCACTCACACTTGATAATCTCTCATTTTCTTCTGATTTGAAGTTGAAATATATAACAAAAATGTCAGCTGCATTTAGAAACTAATGAGCATGTTCTTGCCTGAATTTTACACCTACTGGCTAGAGGATGGTTTTTATCAAGCATCCAAGTAATGAAGAGATTTCCAAAATATGTGAACCAGAACTGTACTTTTGTAACCATGGTTGGATTGATGGTCAACAGCACATAGCAAGAATTTTGAAACTGAATTTTCTAGCACAAGTGAGACTGTAGCATGCCCCATACTTTCACAGGAAAACTGCAGCTCACCAGTAGGTGCATCTGACACATTAGACTCCTGTCTAGTTGGGAAACAGACAGATGATGAATCCAAAAATCCAGATGTAGCACTCAGAGCATAGGCTGTAGAGCAGGGTTTTTTTGGTGAAAACTCAGGATTACTGATCACAGCCACAATCTTGAAAGCAAATAAAAAAAACTAAGGGAGGAGTGGCACGCAGCAGGAGAGCATTTGTCCTGAAAATAGTATCATCATTTACACTTCAAAATACGCATGCTTTGCAGGCTCCTCAGAGTGTGGATTTTTTAGATTCACGATCCAATTTTTTGATTTTTGTAAAGAAATGCAATGCAATGCATTCTGGGGTTATATTCAAGAAAAATTCTCAAAGAGATGCACCCTTGGTTTTACTGTCTTGAAATGGCATCTACATGCCAGTCACTAACTGAATCAGGGAAGATGAATTTTCTGAATGTGTAATACACAATCTTGGGAGTAGGAATGCCGATTATTTTAACATTTCCAAGCTGTTTCTCAAAGAACTCGTCTTTGTTTTGATTTGCACACATGAACGCCACTTGAATGTCAACTAATTTGCCTCTCCCGTTCTCCACAAAACCAACTTGCACTTTCTGGATGCTTGCAGATATAATTTGCTGCCACTTGACCACTGGTCCCAGTTTTTCAATCAAGTCAGTGTTGTGTTGAATATCGCTCGCAAGTTTTTCAGACATTATTCCCTCCATTTCCTCCCAGCTTCGCCTGTTTATTAGCTCGGAGATAACACACAAGGCTTGCTTAGCCCCTCGTAGAAAATCGCGTTCCTCAAATTCGTGATCAATAAACTTCTGAAGGAGCCATAGATTCACTGTCTTTAAAAGCCACCCAATGGGCCCTTGTGTTATGACCAAATTCGCTGTTTTTACTTTGGGGTCTTCGCCATTTTGTCGACCGTCGGAACATAGCGTTCGTGTTAAAGTAAATGGACGCAGAACTCGTGGTGTTAAAGTTGCAAAAGGTGTTCTCACATTCAAAAAAGGATCTTTTAAACGTGTGTAGGCTGTATTTATGAAAAGCAGTTGGAATGAGCGAAAGCGGCGAAAACACACTTCGACCGCCATTGAATGAGAAAAACTCCGGCCGGTGAAGGGGTTCAAGGCGGAAAAACGTAATGAGCATGCGCGAACGTTTTTGCCCAGATCCCCTGGCCGGGTTTGAAAAAATGGCGGGATTTCAAATATTTTATTGCCTAAAAATAAAATGTTTCCACTCATAACCTGGAAAGAACAGGCAATTTGTCTTCAAAAGTTGCAAGCTGTGGTTATAACCTTGTCGTTAGTAAATTTTCTCGAAGAATATCTCATAGTAAAACGGACTTTAACGACATTGATTTCCTTGCGTTGTACTGGAAATGTGCGTGCGTAGGTCCGATTTTTTTCGAGATGCATTCACAAAATGTGCTCATATAAGGAAGTTCCTTGATATATAAGGTCCGGAGCTCCACTGTGGACACAAAAACAACATATCTTTGGACAGTGATTTGCCCAAAAAAATTAACGCTTGCCCACAATGTGTTTGAAGTCACTGAACTTTGTCGCACTCGAGCTGATATTTTAAACCCCTCGCTCGATCGGACACTCGTAGTTTCGCAGATCACTAAAATATAAACAAAATCCTCAATGTAGCAGTTATTGCGTTGCCTTTACAGGGGCACCCAATGGATCTGTTCCTCAAAATATCTGTTCTTCATGCAAATTTTTGCTGGCTGGGAGATGTGGAGAAATAATAGTCCTTGGAAGGAAAGTGTTGCTGGGAAAAAGATAATTCAGGGTGTCAGAGAGGATTTGAAGTCTAGAATAGCTGCTACGGGTTACTTGTATGGGTTGCTTACCACTCAAGATATGCATTGTGCCCTATGAAACTTCCCAGTAAGTCAGGTTGCAGGTTGTAAGGTTGCTGGCTGGGAACTCTTCCATCAGTCTTGCTGGGAGTGAGGAACAGATAATTTTTTTCCAGCAATCTCCCAAAATGCTTAAAATAGTCTCAGAAAACTTTATTCACGCTTTGTTGTTGTTGTTAGGTCTTTTTCTCAAAATTTCCCGTTGGGTGCCCCTGCCTTTATGGGGGCAGAAAAAAGGTCAATCTTTATCTAGTAAAATCTTCCCAAAAATCGGTTTCAAAGCAACTATAGTTTTTTAAACTTGCTCATTTCGCGCAGATATATAAATTTTGCTTTGTGTTGTCAAGTTGAACACGCATAACATCGGGTGTATGTAAATGGCGGAACCTGCCCGGAACCGCCCGGAACCCCCGGAACCGCCCGGAACCAACCGGAACCCCCCGGAACCTGCCCGGAACCTACCCGGAACCTTGAAAAAAGCGCAAATGATAAAATTTTAAAAAAAACAAATAACAAAAAATAATACAAATCAAATAAAAATAATGAAAATGAAATAAATATACTAAATATAGGTAGCTTCCACCTTAAAAATAGTCTGAAAGCTACAATTTTTATTATTTTATTTCGTTTTAATTATTTTAATTTGATTTGTATTATTTTTATTGTTTATTTGGTTCCCGTCCTCTTGTTAAATCAGCCTAATACTTGAACAGGTCGGCACGTGACTAACGGAATGCCAAAGACCAAAGTACAAAGTATTGTTTTACGACTCGAAACCACGTGCGCTGTGGAAGTCAGCGAGAGAGGGTGGACAGTTTTTTCAAGTACGACCATGAATGAAGGGAAAGCCGAGACGATCACCATAGAAGATGAATCACAGTCTGAAGATGACAATAGTGAAGAGCTATATCAGCCGGTTTTTATGAGAACCGAGGAAACGTGTCCTTTTGCCAGGTAACATTTCCTTCGTACAAACAGAAATTTGACTGTTTACTGAGTTGCGTAAGCAAAAGCTGATATCTGCCCACAAATTTACGCGGTTTTGTTTTATTTCAACAGTGCTGTAAAAACTGAGGGGAACGGTCATAACGAAGTAATCGACATCCTTTCCTCGCCGGAAAGAAGTCCGGAAAAGAAAAGGTAAGCGCAGGTTCACTTTTCGTGGAGGCATAGCGGGCTCCATTAAAGAAACAACCCGTGGTGCTAAACCACAACAAACAACCCGTGGTTTAGCACCACGGTTTGATTTGTATTATTTTTTGTTATTTGTTTTTTTTTTAATTTTATCATTTGCTCTTTTTTCAAGGTTCCGGGTAGGTTCCGGGCAGGTTCCGGGGGGTTCCGGTTGGTTCCGGGCGGTTCCGGGGGTTCCGGGCGGTTCCGGGCAGGTTCCGCCATTTACATACACCCCATAACATCTGTCAAAAACCTACGCGTAAGTAGGATATCCTTCAAACAAAGTTAAAGTTACATTATTTCAAAAACTTCTTGCTCACAATGAAGAAACGAATTTTCTGTACGAAAACAACTTACCTAAAGATCTTAAAAGCAAAAGATCAGTTGCAACTTGGTAGCCAAGCCATGATTCACCATTTAGCTATTTTAAGCTTAACTGGTCCATGCAAGGTCTTCGTGAAGCAAATCAAACTCAGCCGATCATTAGAAAATACAGAAAATTGTACATAAGGGCTTGTTTTGCTCGCCTCAGTCAAATCCAACTGCAGCCGTTGTTTACGTACAGGAAAAGAGTCAATTGTTTTGAAGTCACTGCCGGCAGTTGTCGTTCTCTACTTCGCAGCTAGTGAAAAGGACAATTTGCTTACAGAAAGTTATTCTTATAAAGAACAGAAACTTTCACAGTGCACTGGAAAACAAAACTATGTGATGAAAAATGAAAAAGAACTCTGACTACTATTACTTGAGCATCAGAAAAATGATCCTGAGTAAGCTTGCTGGCCTTCTATTTCCGAGAAAGTTTAATAAGCGCACAAGTTTGTTCACTCTGATGCGTTATGACGGCAATATGGTTCTTTGACTGACGACAAAGATAAAGCTGGTTCTGCAAAAGTAATAAATCTGGGCGTGTAAAAAAGTAACCGTAACTACTAATAACAGAATACAAGCGGGTTTTAATTCAGCGCGGCGAAATCAACTCATAAATTAATCGGATGCACAATCAGAAAAAATACTCGCCTCTTTAAAAATGTTCACAACCTTTTATTCCACCTCAGACTGACGGAATGATCCATTTTTCCTTTAACATTGGTTTTTCTGAATCCAAAGTAATTTTCAAGCGACGAAAAAAAGCAAACATGTCAAACAAAAATGCTTTACAAAGAGCAAACTTTGGCACCTAGTGCATTTCACTCAGAACTCCAGCAACAAACAAACAAACACAGTAAACACACAGAAAAGCCCGCCTTGAGCCCGCGATAAGGGATGCGCAGAAGCTTGCAGAACGTTTTTCCGCTATGAAGTGAAGGGGAGGCTACTCAGCTATAGCTCGTCCCCAGAGTCTTCTCGTTTTCTAATATGGAAAGCGAGAAGATCCTGGGGATGAGGTTGAGTTTTTTGCGTTACGAGTTTGGGGAGCTTATATTTGGAGGGGCTTATTTTCGGAATTTTACGGTATTTCGGCTAACAAAATTAACCTTCTTCAGGGCCAGAGCTATACCGAGGGAAAGTATCTCTAAACGGTTCCTAATATTTAAATTTAAAATTTACATAAGTGGTTAATAATTGACTACGATCATAAATCCAGATACAATAATATTTAGGTAAATGATTACACAATACAAATAGAAATAGGAAAAGTTCAATGTTCATTCCTTCGGTCTCGGTCTCTATCTATGAGGTACGCTTCTCTTGCCTTACGGCGTGACATGCTGAAAGTGGCCGGGGTTGTAATTGGCCTATAATAAATCAGCTCTTTGCCGTAGTGCCAGCTTTGCATTTAGTTTTGTTTCATTTGGCTACCTCTGTAACCTTGTTTAAATCCGGGTGGGGGCGGCTACTGTCATACTACTAAACAAATGTTCATATGGGGAGGCTCCTCCCCGAGATCTAACCCTTACCCTTTTATATACCATTTTTCACGAAAAAGGTACCTTGTTTAGAACTTTACATCGCTTTTAACTGCTGTAAATGCACTGTCTTTTAAACAGGAATCAATCACAAAAAAGAACGTTTCCTCGACTTCATAATGCCATAAAATTCATCTGTTAACCCTTTTGGGCCCTTTTACAGACCCAAATGACAGATTTTCCCACCCTTTTTATACTTCAACTAGTGAAATTCCTTCCCTTTCACATACCTGAAGCGTGAAAAAGGTACCCATTTCGGGGGGAGCCTCCCTGTATAGGCCATCATAGGGAGTACCCCGCCACCGGGTTTAAATCACTAACGTAATTTCGTTACTTCTTCCAAGTATATACCCAAAACGCATTTCCCTGAAACCACACTCAATAATTGGGGTTTGTTTTCGCGGTCGTCTGCACTGAATCATAAATGAAAAAAATGAATTAAAGATACATGACAGTTAGGGGAGAAAGGTAAAATGCCCCTGCTTAGAATGCGTCTTTCGACGAAGTCTCCCAGCCTTCTTCAACGATAAGTGACGCGAACCGTCGTGTTTTTCGCCTTGGTAAAAAAGTTTATAGAGTGCAAGGAAACGTTCTAGACTGTCAATGTTACGAAAAATTCATTTTTCTTAAGCTTAACAGCTGTGGTGTGGAAGAACGTTTGTCCACATCCCAGGCTAAAAAAAAGTAGGCAACGTTCTTGCACTATTTCTCTCTCTTTTTTTCCTGTCCAAAGCTCATCTCATGTCTGACGCTTGTGCGCCAAAAAGAAGTTACAGTTTATTTTTCTCGTTTTCTCACCGCTTTTAACTGCCAGTGTTATCTTGGGATATTCATTTTAAATCATGCCAAGTCTCGTGGAGTCCCCAGAGTAGGTTTACGGTCGTTTCGCCGTCGTCGTGAGTCGTTTCGCTTACGTGTTATAAGTCTTTTCGCTTACGAAGCGACTTTCCCCTCAAGTAGCCAGACTTAGAGGAAAGAACCGAATAAGTGGGGAGGGAAGAGGAAAAATTTTGTTGGCTTACTGGTCGTTTCGATAAAAGTCGTTTCGTTACAAGTCGTCTCAATATTAGCCTCTGAACAGGCTCTCTGTTTGGGGAAAGGGTGAAGGAGGAAGGAAAGTGATTTACAGCCTTTTCAATTTGGATATTACCAAGAACAACAGAAACAACAACAACTGCCACAACAACACACACAGAAGCCCTTCCTCCTCTCTCATCATCTGCCTCCCTGCCCCATCTCTTAAATCCACAACTTGACTCTCATTTGACATGCGGAAGGATAAAAGTAAAAAAAAAAAATCCGAAAAAGAAAGGGAAAATATTTACAACAATCCTTGCATTTCTTTCATAAAAAGCGCGTAAGCATCGTCTTTGGTGCCGGTTTCGGCGACTTTTGGCTGTGAAACTTGTTGTGGTAAAGTTTCAACAGGTTCTGATCCAGAAGTTGGTGGCCGAAGCTTGGCTTTGTTCTTGGGTTGGTCCCGTTTGACTCGTAATGCCGTAGGTATGAGTTTGGTTAACTCTGCCTGTGTATTTCGTAACTGCGGTTTGGCGCTAATTGTCGCCGTTGCCTCTTTGACAATCGTTGCTCCTTCAAGTAAGAAAGAAAGAAACACGAATTTAAAAGAATCAATTAATCTCTTTTATTACTCTCTCAGGATGATCCTTCTTTCTTAAAGCAAACATCGAGATGAAAATGGGCCTAAGATCGGGGCGCTTTTCGTTTTCGTAAAGTTATCTTTATACGTTGGTCCTGTTCAACAGGAGTCCATTGATACTGCCGGTTGGAAGAGAATTCACTAGAGTTTACCTGTGTTATGTTATCATGGGTGCATCAGGAAGGTTACGAACACTAAGCCACCAGCCTTAACAAGTATTCATTCAATAACACTGAGGGAGCTTAAGAAAGAACAGCAGCGATGGCAACGAGAACGGCAAAAAAGCAATAGATTTAGATTAGCAAAACAACAACTTTGCATCTGCATCACGCTTTTGTCTACGTCGTTGCACGACTACGACGTGAAACGTCTATATCAGGTTTGAAGGAGTACGCCTACGTGTAGCCTGAATTTCATCCGATTACTTCGAGTCGTTATTACTCCCTCAGTAACGTCTGAATCGACCGGCCGTTAATGCCGTCCAGTGACGTCACTACTCCTTGACCTTTGCGTTAATTCATGCAAAAGGTAAAACACGATTTTCAAGTGGCAAACCGAGAAATATCGTTTGGAAATGTCTGCACGATACAGAACTGCTTTATTTTTTTCGATCGTAATTCATGTTTAACGTTCAAACTATCAACTGCATGCAGTACAACTCTGAGCCGGTTGTACTAAATTCCATAATCAAACTCGGTCGCAATCACGCAATGAAATAAACACACACACGGAAAAATCAAAAACACAATGATTTGCTTCAATTGAAAAGAAGCTATTTGGTCCTTAACGAAAAAAAAAACAAGGAGACAAGAAAGAAAAGCTAACAGAATCATTACACTTGACGGTAAAAATAGCAATAAGGTCGAATTATAACATTGATCTCAGAAAACTTCGCGTAAACAAAATCACCGGCCGCCGAAACCACAAAGCGGCTTTAAATGAAAAACCTACCGACTGTCCGCAATGATCCTTCATCCGCAGTTCAATACAGCATTTCAGTTTCGAAGACAAGGGTAATTTTACTGTTTAAGATAAAGATCAAGCTTATCGAATTGTTTGAACTATTACGAAAGGATGCCAGGGATGCGACAATCCCGCTAAAATTTTTCATAATTATACATAATTATGCGAATGTTTAGACAATCAACCAATCAAAATCACTACCCGGTTTTCGGGTAGTGAGTGACGTCACTGGACGGCATTAACAGCCGGTCGATTCAGACGTTGTTGAGAAGAGAAAACGACTCGAAGCAATCGGATGAATTTCAGGGTACGCCTACGAGAACATAAGACAACGATTTTCTTTTTCTTTTTCTAAACTTAGATACAGTTCTTTAGAATTTAACTGCAGAAAAATTCGCTAACATTTGACAAATTGAACGAGATGGAATACGACTGACGAAGTTTGAAAGAGCGCGAATGCGTCTTCTCCGCTGTCGTGGTTGTTTAAGCTCCCTCACAATGGTGATTACAATGTAAGTAACAAATTGTTTGAAACAACAACAACAATGACACAGCGACGTACGTACCTTTTCCACCGTCAGACGTTGGATTAGCCATGGGTGGTTTGCTGATAAAGGTCGGAGGCGCTGATAAAACTGCACCATGGGGTGGGGGAGGAACCATTCCAGGGGGTGGTCGAGGGGGTGGGGGCATTCCAGGTCTTGGCGGGAGCGACATGGGCGGCTGCATAAGGGGTCTTGGTCCTCTTGCCAGAGCATGTGCCATCATGTTAGGTGGTGGTAACCCAGGAGGTGGTCCTGGGGGAACCATGCCAGGCATCCCTGGGGGAGGACCTGGAGGCCTACCAGGTGGGGGACCGGGGGGAAACATCCGCGGGGGAGGCCTGATCGCAAAGTTGGGTTGGATTGGTAAGGATCCAGGTTGTTGACTTCCCAGGGGTAGCTGACCAGGGGGTGGCCCCGGAGGTGGTCCTGGTGGTTGGGCTACCTGTGTTGTGCTTCTCTTGGTTTGGTCTCCTTGCTCCTCTGATGTTTTCTGCATTGACGAAACAAAGAGGAAACCGTGACATAAAATATACAACTAAAATTAGACAATAAAACAAAACCGAATGCGAGGCTGGCACTACGGCAAAGGGCTGATTTATTATAGGCCAATATTTCGGCAACAATTTATTAGGTTACCTGTAAGTATGAAATAGTGGGTTTATAATTTTTTTCAAATTGAGGGGATTTAATCAATATGCCATAAAAACCAAAATTCGGTAAGGCATTGTAAAGTTATATATCTCTTGAGAATGGGCAGCATACTTGCATCAAGCTCATTTCAAGCCAGATTAATTTGAAAGAGTAATTGCATATCTGCAATAATCTCAGTTACTTTTTGTAGTAAGATTTTGACTTTGAATGACAGGGGAGAAGTAACTTGACCACTATGAATTGAATTTGTACAGTTGAATGTTACTCACAAAAACCTTTTCACGACTACAGTCAATCTGCACTAGGGTGATTCTTCCTGACATCACATCAACAACCTCTATTGACCTGTCAGTGTGTCATTCTCCGAGGGTGACCACTTAGCACAGGTTAACAAGTATGTTATTTAGGATGTCTTCTTTTGAACACAATAATAATTATCATTTGAACCTTATTTTCTGGAAGAGGCTGACCAGCCATTTTGAGAAGAAAATCTTGAATGGATGACGTATTGGCACTGTTTGAGGGTTGACCCCCACTTTGCTCAACTTCATCAGCAAACCTCACTGTTCTTTGACGTTCTCTTGACTCTGCAGCGAAACAGAGAAATAAGTTGATATCATCTCACTAAGCACAGGCAGGGTTGTCATTAAGAGCCGAGGGCCGGGGATTTTCCCCGGCTACTTTTATTGGAAAATACAAGAAAAATAGAACCAAAATAAATCCCTAGCCGGTTGATTCCCCGCCTACTTGTTGTATTTACGCGGCAACTTGAAATCTTAGTGACAACCCTGTCAGGGCTGTAAATAAGATAATTTTTGTTTTTGGACAGGACATACCATTATGCCTGACCAGGTCACTATTCAGTCAGACAGACTATAAAAGTTGTCAGGGAATATGATAAGTTGACTTGCAATTCTATCAGTACCATACAAATTATCAGCTTTAAAATAATATATATATATATATATATATATATTTTGCACAGATCCCGCCACGGATATTTACCAGGGTATGCCTGCTCTAGGGTGTCACGAGCGTACATAGCACGAAGAATGCACTTGCCACAAGACCTTTTATTTCGCCGACGCGTTTCGCCGTTTGGCTTCTTCAGGGCACAAAGGTTACACTCAATTATCGTATTATTCGTTGTCCTATTTATACTTTTCAAAGCTCGTTAGCTTTGTTTACATTCGTGTGACGAAATTAATTGCTTAATAAATTGTTTACAGCCTAGTGGTGGAAGGCTTAATTTACCGTTTTATGCGCACTGTCGGCTTCGCGCGCTAATGTCATTGTTGACGTTGGTATGACGCAATTAATTCGTTTCTAATCTTCTGAAGTTGTTTACACTGTTCGCAAATTATATATATATATATATATTTCTATTTGATTAGTCAAGTCTTCATACTCAACCACTGGCAGGACTTTGTCAGACAATGGACAAATTTCAGTTGGACATTGTCTGATGGCCAACTGTATCTTCTAAATTCTTTTGTTCCACAACATTCAACATAAAAATAAGGCAAGATGAGTAATGGCTAAAGGTTTCCAATATGAATAATACACTGTGTACATTTTATTGGAAGTGGGGAGAATTTACCTCCTTCACTGTCCATCTCCTCATCTGTGTTGTCATCTTGTTCATCAATCGGTTGCCCATCATTTTCCCCTTCCAGCCTCTCCAGCGGAACTGCTGGGTCATACTCCTCTTCTTCACCCCCTGATTCACTGGTACTACCCTCGCTATCACCATCATCATATGGTCTACCCTCTAAGTCATCAGGTGCTGTTCCAGGAGGTGGGGGTGGAGGAATGCTGACAGGTGGGGCACCTGGCGGGGGTCCTGGTGGGGGACCAGGTGGTACAACTCCTTGGGGGAGGGTTGGTGGGGGCCCTGGTGGTGGACCAGGAGGTATTAATCCAGGAGGAAGGGGCCTGAGGATGAATAAAAGTACAGTGCTGCTCAAAAGTAAGTTACCAATCATGTCTTGTTTCTGGTACAATGAGAATCGTGTAGTGCACTATATGATTCTTGTTGTGGGCTAAGGGAATTGCACAGCACCAAAAAAAAAAATCAGTAAAGCAGCAATTTTTGGGATAAATTATCAATGACCCATCCAGTGCGAAACCAACTAATAATAATATTATAACAGTAATATTATAATATTACAAGTGAAATGTTTTTGCCACATTTTTTAAAGTAACATAAAGTTAAGGTAAGTAGACATTATCTACACCATCATTAAGCCTGGATGACAACTTCACATGCAAAAGCTGGTAAAAATGATTATTTTGAGACATCCACGTACAGGTTGTTAAACCATAGATGAGTAATCTTGCACTGCAGCAGCATTGTCCAAGGCACATAAATATAAGATTAACAGGTGAGGAGAATGGCTCAAGAATGAGAGTGTGAGTGACCGGTCAACATGACTGGTTAGTAAAGTTTTTGGCCGCACAAGTCGCCATTCTGGTCAGACATTGTCCCTTGACCGGCTGTTATTCTGTGCCCTGCGGTTGTACTACTAACAGTGGCATTGAAAACAAGAATAATAAACAGAAACTCACAGTTGTCCAGGCAATGGTCCAGGGAGAGGAATATCACTTGGCATCAACATTCCTGAAATAATTATTTAAAATTAATTTCTTGAGAAAACAGTCTTTAGGGCCAAGTTGTTTGAGGACCCCCTTATCACTAGCTCAGGGTTAAATTCTCTTCTCGGTTCCTTTCCCAGGTAGCCAATTTTGAGTCTGTGTATGAAACTCTTTGATGTAACTATTCAAATGAAACCTCTTTGGCAGAAGCCCCAAGATTCACATACAAATTCTCCAGACTGACCACCATACATTTCTTTTAAGAATAGTTGAGAGAATTTGGTTTAAGATCAAGGCATTCTCCTTTTGGTAATCAATTTAGTAATTCTCATGACCTTTACTCTTGATGATCTGCTGATGTTGTTAGGAGAAAATTGATGTTGGTCACTCTCGGGACCTAAAGGGTTATTTCTCATAATTTCACATGAAGAAATTTTGATTGTGATTTAAGAATTTTCCATTTGTCTACTGTTACGAATGAAAGGTAAAGGTTGATTTGATGGCTAATTTCTACAGGGTAATTATCACCAAGAATGATAAAAGAAGCAGAAGAAAGCAGAGAAAAAAAGGTATAAAGTTGTTAAAATCATATACTTATTAAAACAAGAAACAAAGAAGGGACAAAAGCACTGTACCTGCATGTGGTAGAGGGATGTTGGGTGGTAATGGAATATCTGCTGGAATCCTAGCTTCCTGAAACAATGGAAAAGAAATTTAAGGATACAGTTATTTATGTTTTCAAAATAATGTTTAGAATCAATAAGACTGGAAAATGAAATGATACAAATAGAAGTGAAATACAGGGGTATCTATTTTTTTTAGGGTGGTAGAGAAAACACACACCAACTAAACACATTTTCCAAAAAATATACAAAATAGATTTTGTTGCACAAATGTATCTAGGTTACACACCTCTGCTAAAGCTTTTTGTCTTGACTCTGTAAGGAAAGCACCCAGTAATTAAAATGCAGTTATAAACATACTTCATTAAAATATATATCAGCCTATATTATCAGTCAAAACCATAGCAGAAGATGCATTTACTTCATCAATATAGCTTAACACAGCACACCTTGACCCCCACAGCAAGAAGGCTTTAAAACTTTATTACAATGTGGAGAGTCTAGTTGTATAAACAGCTTGACTATGCAACTTCCTTTTATTGCTACTGTTCATTTGTTCATAAAAATTTAAAGATAAAATTCAATGACTGATTACAAAAAAAAAAATAATAATATATGACAAAATTATCAAATCCAATTGGCTATCAGCTTCCCTGAGTTCAGCATTAATACTATGTAGGACAGGTAAAAGGACAATATGAGTCATGCCTAAGTAATAACAATTGGACATTACATACAATTACTGATGTGTTCACTTCAATAGGTTTTTCCAACAAGTCATGCTGGTAGCAAAAAACTGTCCAAATACCTTGTGCTTATTTTAAAAACCTAAAAATACAATTATTCTTATACTCAAACTAACTCTCCCAGACTTCTGGGATTTTGTTAATCACTTGTGTGATAACAGAGGGAAATGGACTCCACTCAGCCTATTACCATAATGATTACACATAGCTAATAACTACTCAATAACTACCCTCTTACAAATTCAAACAATAAATTATTAGTTTAGTATTACCATTGGCAGACATCTGGGCTATCAAACGCTTTCGCTCACTTTCAGCAATCAACCTACAGGGTTGGGGTACAAAGAAAATTGCTTGACATGCATTGACAAAATACAGTCTGTAACTACTACATTGTGTCATTCATAAATCCACAAGACCTAAAACACACAGAATGTGTAAAGCTTGACCTAGTTTTTTTCTACTGTGTTCAAATTTGACTTCAAGTGTATTTTTCATGCCCTTATAAAAGCAAAAATGAAAACAAGTCTGATTGTACTCACTGTCTCAAAAGTCCAGACTGAGAAGGATCATCTTTCTCCTATGGAAGAGTGAAATGTTACAAAATAATTATAAGAGGAAAATTCACAGGGGGACAAGAACTACACTGTACATGTATGAATGGAAAACCTGGTATGTTGCTACAACTGAATTGAGCTTTTGCATGGACAAACTTTGTATGAATCTGTGATATTTCCCTACATAAAATCAGTGACTTACACTTAAAAAGTGCAAAGAAAATTTCCAATGAAACATTACCAAATCTACAAGCATTCAAGTTGTACATTTATTTGCTGTATTCAATGTACCAGGCCATACCATATATTTTTTATATAACTACAACTAAATGTTGAAAAATATTTTAGATAATTTACTTCTTTGAAAAAGGTCTACAAATTAGTTTACAAACTTAAGATATGAAGAAGAGTTTTGGTGATAAACTTCAACGATAAAAATGATAAATCCTACAACTTTACTTACAAGAAGATCAACCATCCTATCAAGTGTTTCTTTTAGCTTTCTTTTTTTGTCTTTCAGTGCTTTGTCATTTGGAAGAGGGACTGGTCCAGCATCATTTTCTATTAGGAGAAAATCATTACAAATTCTAAAATATATGGGGGTGGTAGACATGCATATCATAATGAGGAATATTCAGGATTCTACAATCTGGGAAAAAGAGGGCTTCATGAATAAGCAATGCAGGCTTTATAGTATGACAAAGAATTAAATACTGAGAATATGCTTTAAATGCACATATAATTTTAGTCAGATATGATGCAGAACCTTAACTCAATATTCAGTTCTCAAACATTTTGAGAACCAAGAATTGAGTCTCAAACATCAAGATGTGAGTGAATGTCAACTTACATTTGAGTGATATTGTAACAGGAGGATATGGGATGATGCATTTAATACTGCACTTCACTGCTGGACAAGCTGTAGTTCAAGGTCTTTACTAAAGCAGAAATCTGTATTTTCCCATACATTCCCTTCAGCATTAACGTTTTACCCCTAAAGGTTACTTCAACTTTTTGCCCCGTGAAGCCAATCAAACACAGTCTTGGATTCTTGATTCCAAACTGTGGATTCGGGATTTCAAGTACTGGACTCTGGATTCTTTTTCAAAGGAACTCAGAATTCAGATTCCAATCATTAGTGGGATTTCGGACTCCTTGAGCGGAATTTCAGGGTCAAATGCATGGGATTCTGGATTCCACCAGCAACCTTACATGGACCAAAACTTTTAATTCTACCCCTTCAGACTCCACCACTTTCATAACTTACACATGAAGATTTCTACTTGTCCTCGGTCAAATGTAGTCATAGTGGTATAAAAATTACTTACCCATATTTTCTATTTTCTCAATTTCTTCCAAAATTTTTCTAGGGTCTTTGGATTTTAAGACAGCTTCTCGCACCATCTTTCTCTGCTTCTTATTCTGTGGGTAAATATAGAGAAAAATTCTCAGACAATACAGATCTTAGGGGATGAGGACGACAAGACAGTGAGATACATCTAAGACTAAAAAGGGCTCATCCTCAATGTAAAAACCTGTGAAACTCACGAGTGACGTAAAACAATGAAGACAAAGAGAAGTCAGTACAATAGTGCCAAGGAAAATAGTAGCTAGAAAACAAAAAAAAACTTCACAGATTTTTACACCGAGGTAAACCCCTAAAAAGAGTGCTATGCAGCTTCGATACATGTATAATCTCAATAGTTTGATCTTAGTGCAGCTAGTTATTACATCAATACCTAACCATTCTTGCCTCTGTACACAAACGAACGAATCGATACAAACCTTCTTCAATTCTCGCTTTCTTGCTTCCTTTCCTGTCAATGTAAAAAACACAATTAAGGTGAAATGAGTAAAGCTTAACATAGCTACAGATGTAAATGAAAAAAGACACAAAATTGAGGAAGGAAGTAAAATCATTATGAACGAATGACATAAAGTCTTACTTGCTTGATCAGTGGGATTCATAAACTTTCCACTCTTTGTGGTTGATATTGATCGCCTCCCCATCTTGATCTTGTTGTGTTTACCACAGGAACTGCAGCAAAATCAAAGAGAAAATGTGCAAAGTACTAAAACATCATGGCGTCCTCCTTCGGCTGAGCAGCCAGGCAGGGAAAGCAGCCTGGCCTTTCGAGACAAAAAGTTACGCTCTGGGTAGTAGAAAAAAGGTACTTTTGCAGTGTTGGAAGACGGGTGAGATGGATGCCCCGGTGGTTTTCAAAGGTTTTTTGGCTTTCCTATTCCAAGAAAAAAATTACTTTTATCGGTGGCTTACAGAGATATAATGTATGGAAAAACCATTATCGTTTTTTAACCAAAAAAATAACAATCACAATGACATCAGCTGACCACATCCCTAACCGCCCCCCGCCGAGGAAAATTTGTTAGCGGAGTAGTATGAGTGTATCGACGCCAAATCAACGCTAACAAACGATGAAGGAATGTAGCCTGGAAGGAGGATTCTATTGACTTTCTGGATCCTTGAATCCGCAGAATGACTGTGCATCAGATTTGAAGGATGTTCAAGTGAAATGAGCTTTGATTTCCAGGCAGGGTCGCCAAGAAGTCACGCTTCACTTCCGAGTTTTTGTCGTCGAGTGGGGTCAAGTCGGGTTTTGGACACAAAAACGGATATTTCGATATTGCCTGAAGCTATTTTACACACAAAATTATGCGGATTTGATATTTAAACAGCATGAGTAACACGGAAGGAAGAAATTATTCCTTGGAGAGGCAACGAAGCAAAACCACCTTCACTCAGGAATCAGTTGTGGCTACTGTGAAATGTGGTTTTCTGTGGAAGACTTCTTTTCATACTGGACGCACATCTTCGAAGAGCAGATACTTTGTCTTAACACGAAGCTCGTTGGATCACTTCCGAAATAACCAAACGGTAGTAATTAATTTTTTCAGTTTCTGTCTTTGTTTTTTGAAGTTACTGTAAAATGTACAGCTGGATAGTTATGTACCAGTCTGAGTCAGTTCCAAAACTGCCCATGTCTCCCCCCCGGAAAACATCCGGGCATTTTACTTGTTGGAAAAGTTTTGCTCAAATTCCCCGGTATGTTGACAGTTTAGATGGTCAAATGTCCCACCGGCTAGTGCTTCAAAAAGCGTCAAATCCCCCACCTACTGGCGACTATTCAAAAATTTACCCATGCGTCAAACCATTTATTCAAAATATGTTAATATCCTACTAAACACTACCTAGATATCTTATGTCTTGAAAAGCTGTTTTTATGGAGGTTTGTTCATTGCAATAAAATAATTGTTTATTCCAGAAAGCCCACATTTAACAGTCTTTTTCAAAGGTTCTCGAATGCTCCAACAAAACAGTGGATATAGGAGCAATGATCCTAGCCTGTGGTCTGGAGAACATTTGGGATCAGGGATCATTTACAGTACTGTACATTGCCTTTGACTCTTTTTCCTCTTTCCTTATCCCTCTCCCCACACTCCTTTTCCCTTTCCTCCCCTCTTTTTCCAACTCTGGACACTATACTTGAAAGAGGTTGCAAGCGTAATACAAAGTTTATTATCATCCAGGAAAAACTGAAAGGAAGTCTACCATTAGCTGCCATAGACATAGTAGAGAGACTTCCTGAAGACAATTGCTCATTTAGAATCACTGGACCATTTAAGCACCCACTTATTTTACAAGCCTGTAGCAGGGAAGAGTGTCAAGAGTGGATAAAGGCAATTGAGAATGGTAAGACCACCCACAAATTTTAGCTTGTGTGGATATGCAATAGAGAGGAAAAGTGTGACATCATGTTACCAGGGTAGCAAAATTTCTGGATCACAACAATTGGGAGCTTAAGCAATGACGATGGGGACGGCAAAGGGAACGGCAAAAAAGCAATAGGTTTATATTAGCAAAACAACAACTTTGCACGTGCATCATGCCTTTTTGTGGATTTCTTAGCCTTTGTTGCATGACTGCAACATGAAACTTCCTAATTTCACACACCTACTTTATGGAGTAGGTGAACACGACACAACAAAAAATTGGTTTAAATTGTGAATTAATGCAGGGTGTAAAGAAAGTCAGTTTTGCAGCCTGCCATTCGGGCAAGCTGCAGCTAGCATGTACTAGTCGGCAAGTCATTTCTACTAGCCCCCAAACCCTTTCTGATTAGCAGGATTGATTACAATCCTTCTGTGACTTGAATTTCCCCAAAAAACAGCACTTGCCCGTCGGGCAAGTTGAGAACAAAAATCGCTACCCCAATAGCAAAATCCACTAACTACCGGACTATCGGATACAACTTTCTTTGCACGCTGTAAAGAAAAAAAAATTACATCACACCCTCCTCGATCTGCAGAATTGTTCATTACCTACTTAGCCTCATTCAGTAATTGCTAAATATCTATGGATATAGGTCTCCTGGACCTGGAGTGATGGGATTTAATAATAATAAGCTCCTTGCCAACGAAATACAGCTGTGCTCAAACACTGCATTTGTCCACTGTATTTGTACACAATTCTCATAACTTTTTCTCTTGACAGCGTGCAAAGAAAGTCGTGTCCGACAGCCCGGGGCTAGTGGATTTTGCTTTCGGGCTAGTGAATTCTGTTCTTAACTTGTCCAACGGGCAAGTGAATTTTTTGGGGAAATTCAAATTACAGAAGGATGGTAATCAATCCTGCTAATCAAAAAGGGTTTTGGGGCTAGTTGAAATGATGTGTGGGCTAGTACTTGCTAGCTACAGCTTGCCCGAATGGCAGGCTGTAAAACTGACTTTCTTTGCACCCTGCTTGATTATTTAATAAATTATTGATATGAGAAAATTGATGTTTGTCTATTTTGGGTCTTTAAGTGTTAAAACCTTCATTACATTTTAGGAATTCAACAGTGGCGTCTAGATTCAGATTCTGGCACCCCAGGATTTAACAAGAAAGATGAAATTTACAGCTTTCAGAATGTGCCTGGGATTAAGGTATCTTATTTAAAAGTGTTAGCAGTGACTTTTTGTTTAACAAATCAAGAATCCTTGACGGTTCTCTGTTCTGTTGTAAAGAACGCAGGAAGTGGCTAGAGCATGAAAAAAGTAGGGGAAAACATGCGACGTAGTTGAGTGATTCTCCCTACTTCTTGAGTGGATGGATTGTACATCCTTTACCTGAGTAGCTAAGCAGCCAATTCTTACTTGATTTTTCTCTTTTCTGATCAGGGTCATTTTTTCTAGGGCATACTTGCTTTGAGCAAAGTTAGGTTATTTAAGTTTTACACTTACTTGATTCGGCACCCACCTCCGGTGAATATTAAACTACCGTATCTATCTCTTGAGGGCTATGCTTCAAAAGTCATATTACAGAGATTATTTGCACAGAAGTTCAAGTTCTACATCTAATTATAAACATGAGCTCTCTTTAATAAAATCTCAATACTGCGAAATTAGTTGCACTGTATGCGTGCATGCACCCTCGTATGACACACGTGTATTTACTGCTGCTATTGTTTCATTTCATTTTGATTTTTTGATGGTATCATTCTTTATCATTCACTATTGTTCATTTCTAAATGTATTTTGGACTTAACAGTGTCTGTCTTACCTGACATAGACTGAATGGAAATAAACATCTTTTACCGTCTATCTTCTGTTTGTAAACAGCCAAATGGTAGCAAATGTGTGAATGTTCAGCTTATGTTTGGGGTGGAGAATGAACCTTACGAAACACTATCTACACCATAAGTTACCCAATGCCTTTATAATTTAACTGCTTAGTAATGCCACAATCAGAGATAAGTATGAAAAAATAACAGAAATATATAATAAAAAGCATATTGTTCAATTTTTCACAATTTTTTTCCACAATGAAAGCATTTCCTTTGTGGTCCATGACTGTTTGTGAAGTTGTGAACTCAGCAGTCTAAGCAATCTTGTGACAAAGGATTTTTTCTTGTTTGCTCAAGAAATAAAGGCCTTGAACTCGTAATAAAAGGGTTTCTTACGGTGGCCCACAACGGCAATACACAAATATCTATTGTATTACTGCATTCTATATCTTAGTACACAAACATATTCATTGGCTCTTGGGTATAAAAATAAAAGTTGCGGTACAAAAAATTAAAAAAAAAATGGAAAGAAAAATATGACAACAGTACAACAATGTGTATCGCAGTACAGAAATATAAATTTCAGTACAAAAATAAAGTTTCGGTACAGAAAAATTAAAAAAGAAAAACTGAAGAAATCGGTAGGTACTTTATATATGATTATTGCCATGTACCTAAATATATGCTTATTTAAACAAACCTTATATATTTCATTATTATAAATTAACTCGACTATACACCACCAAACACAACCATACACCTCTATACAACCCCATACATCACCATCCAACACCATGCACACCTACACTTCACCAAATGCCTCTAAACATACACCCATTTATAACACCATGCACCCCTTACGTCGCTAAATACCTCTATACATCACCATATACCTCTATACATCACCTTACAACCCTATACATAACCATAGACCTCTACACATGACCATTGTGTACAAGTGCATGGTTATGAATAGGGGTGTAAGATGTTGTATAGAGGTATATGGTGGTATATGGTTCATGGTTTTATACATGGGTGTATGGTGCTGTATAGAGGTATATGGTGATGTATAGAGGTTTATAGTTTTACGGGTGTATGGTGATGTATAGAGGTGTATGGTGATGAAAAGAGGTATATGGGGATGTATAGAGGTGCATGGTATTATAAATGGGTGCTGACATGGGTGTATGGTGATGTATAGGGGTGTATGGTGTTATACATGGATGTGTGGTGATGTATAGGGGTGTATGGTGATGTATGGAGGTTTATCGTGAGGTATAGAGGTGCATGGTGTTGTACAAGGACATGTGGTGATGTATAGGGGTGTATGGTGTGGCATAGAGGTGTAAGGTGGTGTTTAGTGCTGTATAGTCGAGATAATTTATAATGATGAAAAATATAAGGTTTGTTTAGGTACACTATAATAAGCATATATTTAGGTACATAGTAATAATCGTATATAAAGTACCTACCGATTTTTTTTCAAATTAGGGAAACACATTGTTGTACTGTTGTCAAATTTTTCTGTATGTTTTAAAATTTTTGTATTCAACTTTTAATTGATCTTCCGGTGAATGATTTATTACACAAAATCTTACAAATTAAAAGTAATATTTGGGAGCTCAGATACAACACTATATGGATGCGATAGAAAAGTATTAAGCTCGTTGTTTTTCAATTAAGCGGATGACTTAATGTTTTCCTTCTGATTTAGTGATTAATACCTGCCTTTTAAGGGATTTTTGAAAACCCAAGCTCAAAGCATAACACCTTAGAGTTTCATTTGTTGACTAAATGTTGGTCAGATCAGTCATGACAGAAATAACAACGTGGATGTACTTCTTCAGTTTTCAAAGAACTGACAAAGGAAAATAGAAACTATAATGTCATCTGTTGAAAAACGACTCATCCTGTGCACAAGAAAGAAGGTTACTGTTTATAATGAACATGTGCTGACACAGTCTTTACCAACACAATAATCCTAGCAAATGAAACAAAACTTTGTCAAACTTTTTTTTCTTGAGTTATTGTTCATTATGTACTTAAACCCCAATATTATTAAATGCTGCCAGGATTAAAGCCACTAAAAATCTTGTGATCTTTGGGTGATCAAATTTTGGTTCTTTGATTCTATATTTGGCTCAACATTTTTGTGAAAATGTTTGGTAAGTTTGGTAAGGCTTTAAATTAAACCAAAATACTAACATTTTATTTCTCTTTAGTTTTCATTTTTTGTGCTTGTGTGTTACATAATACACTTATAAGCAAGATCTTGTTCTCTGGAGTTGTTTTCATCCTTTTGACTTCAGTGTTTTTTTTATTAAAACAGATGCTCTATCCATCTTTGTGCTGTCCAGTTGGAGATAAAGTGTCATTCTCAGGTGCAGTATACAACTATTTATAGGTAACTCATTGTTAAGGCTCATTCAGTTCAAGCCATTGGATATTTAAGACCTGGGAGTTTTTTTTCTCACCCTAGATGTTATACTAGTCTATCCCATTGTCAAGCATTTTCCCTGGCTGGAGAGAAATAAGAACTACAAATTAAAAACAAAACAAAAAAACAAGGGTAATTTTGAAAGGAGAAAAGAAGAAAAAAAATTAGCAACTTTTGACCCACTAACAGTTACTGTACCCCTTTTTTCTCAGCTGCCAGTGAGCTTCATCATGAGTTTCCAATGATAAAGTATGCAAGAGGAGGAAGATCCATCCCACATGAAAGAGTCTTTAAACTTGATAACGACAACTTGGTAAGAAATAAACCATTGATAGACGTTGTTATTATTAATCCACAGCATGCAAGTGAAGCCACTCCTGTATAAATAAGCCTGAGGGGTTGTTGGAATCTTTCTCTCTTTGTTTGCCTTTTTAGGACAATAATATGCTAATAAATAAATAGATAATATTCTTTTAATTTGATTTCAATTTGTTTTTTATTGTGATGGCCATGACTCAGGTACATAGAGGATCTACTGTTTTGAAAGACAAACAATCTACTTCTTAATAATTATTTCAAACAACAGGGGGTTAGAATCAAAGCAGGTCCCCATTGCTTTGGTATCTCTCCCCACCCCCCAAACCAAGAAAAAGATAACAACAACAACAACAACAAACAAACCAGAAGGTATGACAGATATTCTTGTCAAATTGCTTTATTTTTTGCTCAATAAATTCAACTCTTCTTCTGACGTGGTTTTTATGATCTTCAGAAAATTACATCCTCTGAACCAAAACAAATGAAGGATTTGTATTGAAAGTGATGGCCCTTAACTGAAACTTTAAAAGGTATTTCAGGGATGTCATTTGGGACCGCGTGGGGCAGGGGCGGGGGCGGAGACGGGGAATTTCCTCAAAATACCAAAAGTAAGAACCCCAGCTATTTTCATACGAAACAAAAGGAATTCACAACGAAAAGAATTTCCTTTTTTTGTCTAACACCCTGCCTATTAATTACCTACATGCGGTAGCAACTGCGAAATAAAATCTGAGCACTTGACAGGCCTTTATTAAAAAAACAACAACAACAACAACTTGCTAAACACAGAATAAACAACCACAGATACTAGTACTGATTTTCATTACCTGCTCATTACATTAATTATAAAAACAACTTGTTTGAAACTTATTAGCAGCTAACTGTTTTTAAACACCTGCCTGCAGCACATTATGTGGAAGAAAAGAGGGAAAGCTCACAGTTTTAATTTCGCCAACACCTGTAAGTTGCTTTTTTAAGATAGCTTTTGTGGTTTAATTGTATCCTTGGTTCAAAATTTTCGTATGAAGAAAAATATATTTTATTGAAGATATTGAAAATAGAACCGCAGCCATTTACATTCTGTCAACACTGCTACTTATATCAATTTAGATGGCAATGTATGATTACCTTCCCTTTGTCACATCCTGGTTATACACATATGCTTATGAAACAAACTAGTGGTCACCTTTGATGACCTCATAGCAACATTCATACCCAGCTTTCACACATGCTCGACAACTGAGCAGAAAGTAACCAACTTCAAACAGCTGTTTAAACCCCAGGGGGTGGGGGAGGGGGGCACTCCCAAAAATTTTGGTTAGGTGTGTGCCGCCCACACAGATGTGAAACAAATGAAAATTGAGACCCCACTGAAGGCCCAAACCTTGAAAATGAGACCCAAATCAAGGGAAAAAAGAAAATTAAGAATTAAAGAAAACGTAAGAAACTTCCATGAATTGCTGTCCTTATACCCTGAGGTAAAGTTCAGTTTTAACAGATAATTTGTGTCTGGTATAACTGGGCATTTACGCAGTTGAATTTTAGCTGATAGAATAACCGCACCCTTTTTAAGGAGCACACCAGGAACACAGTATCAACAAGGGTAAAAATGATACCCTATCTAAGTACGGAGACCCACAAAAACCACACCCTATTCTCTTGGGGCAGCACATACCCATCTACAATCACAGCCAAAAGGTTTTGGCGGTGATTCACATGTTTTTCTATGGAATTTGCGGCTAACTGACAGTACACACTAATAAACAAGATTTTCCCCCCACCCCTCCTAAACAAAGTTGGGGTCCTTAACATGTGCAAGATAACTTAAAAGATGTTTGACTTGTGACACCCAACACTGTCAAGGGGGGAGGGGGAAATGTCCCAAATGTTTTGACCAGGATTTTGGCTCACATATTGGATTACCCCACAGGGTATTGACACATCTACTGGTCCCAATGGAGGTTCTACTGTGATAGTACTGCTATTACTATTGTTACTACTGTTGTTATATAATTATAATCAACATTATCATAAATTCTGACATGCATTTAAGCAGCAATGCTAACACTGAATTTTTGTTGTTTTTCTTTGTTGATTTCCAGTATGTCTAGATAGAGTGATTGAGGTACGATGTGGTCAGCAAACCAGAAACTTTTTCAAGTTCCCTTACACTGAGGTTGAAAGCCAGTCATTCTCGCTCATGTTTGAGAAACAGCAAGGTATTATGTTATCATTGAAATACGTAAATGTACCTGATCAGCATGCATGTTTATATTTTTACATATCACAATTTTGATTAAATGTCGCTATGGTACACACTAGGGTTGGTAAGTGGAAATAGGTTATAGGTTACGTTGTATGATAGAAAAAGTGGGAATTACTTCAACGTAAGTCTTTCTTTTTTTAATGTCGTGTAGGTGAGTGGAGTCAGTTATGTTCACTGGATCTAATATGTGACTCACCTGTGGCATTTGAAAAGTGGTCTAGTGCTGTGAGTATACACTGTATGATGCCTTTACTATATTAATTTTATTTATTAGAGATGTTTACTATAGTTAACATTTTGATAAATTATGTGTGGTTGTTTAAGCCACACCCTTGTGCAAAAAGCTATTGACTTCATTATTTTGCATGGAAGGTCACTGGAAATTCTTCCACTGTAATCTGTCAGATTCTTCTACTTACCCTGATTTTTTCAGCTGGGTGAGATGAAAATTTAAAATAATAATGGAAATTAAATCAAACCAGCCCAGTGGGTCTATTTTTTCTATTTCCTGATTGTTTCCTAAGAAAGAAGCCCTGGCCAGGTGACCCTTAGTGACAGCCCTGAGTTATACTAATTACACACAACAAATTTCACTTCAGATGAGGGAAATTATTTATGGCCAAGATCAAAGAGTGAACCGCCATAGGTTTGATGGTGTTGATCCAGTTGTTCTGTATCCTTTTAACATTTATTAGTATTGTATATGCATTGCAACTCTGTCCACAATGGATATGGTTAGGAGAACAACCTCATCTTTTGGCCTCCTTGCTTTTTCATCTGCTTTAATCTTGCTGAATCTTGCATTCATTCACCACGTTGGGTGGTTTAATTATGTGTAATATTGTTCTATAAATACTATGTGAGCATAGATGAATGTGATTTTTAATAAACCAGCTAAATAATAGATTTCAGCTGATCACTTACATAATGCATGTATTATGTTTCTCCTCTAGCCCATAAGAAGAACTTGTAACAATGCTCAAAATAACTATTTTGGGCATTGAAGAAAACATTTTTTTTACCTTTCATCTAACATACATGTATTTATCAAGATGAGATTCTTTACACCAGTCTTGGGCCCAGGCATCTTAATACAAAGGCACACTAACAATACAGTGAAATAATAATATTAGGCCTAATTTAGGTTCTATTTGGACGAATATTTAGTTTGCAGTATACATTCAATTTCTTACCTTGGTACAAGTATTAAAGTGCCTTGTTTGAAAAAAGGGGGCAGAAATATTTCCTTAATAGCCTTGAAAGGTGGTTGAAGCGACATTGGTCAGTGATGTCATCACGGCGGAGTAAAGGAATTTCAGTGGACCAGGCCTTATCATTTGCTCAACACTGCTGCAGTGGAGCTAAGAAGAAACAGCAATTAAGAAATTATATCAAGGTTGTGGTTGAATATATCAGACCATTCATCAGTGATCTTTGTCAGTTCAAACCTGCCGATCAGCTTTTCAATTGCTTGAGACTGCGCAATATCTAATTCAGTTTCTTTTTGAGAGGAAAAGCACTGACAGCATAAAATTGATTTAGTGGTACTTAAGTTTGAATTGTGAACGGAGGGAAGATAATGGAAGGCAAAGTGAAAATTATAGTTTTTTTAAATTTTTTTTTCTTATTTCTAATTTGTAATAATTCCCAAAATTTGTTTAAAGCTAATCAAATACATATTAAATGTTACAAGCCTGTATTATTAAAGTGTTTTGCTGTTTGACTGAGAAATTGTTTAGTTGTAACTTAAACTAACTATATTTTCCTCTTGGCTTTGCAGGATGTTCTTGAGGTGCAGTGTGGAATTATTCAACACAATGAAAATCTCTTGTGGAACTCGTTTCTGATGTTGTTCAATAACCTTAATGAACAACCAAATGTGAGTGTGATAATTAATTTTGAAATTAAAAAGCCAAATCTGTTTAAACTGGCAGTATTCAGTTCATCTCGCTGGCTTTCACTTGCGGGTTTTATTCATAAAAACTAACCAACACCTAATACAGTTAAATAAACTGTTTCACCACATGAACTAAGTACTGCTTGGTAGCTTTTATTTCGATGATCACTCGTGAGTTTTTCATCCCAGGTTCAATTTTCAGTCAAGAACCCTGAAAATCACCTTTTGCCGATTTTTCCACCTGATTTTACATTAAATAGCCAGATTGGGTTGTTTTATGCTGAGAAGTGGATTTTTCTCAAAAAGCTTGGTACTTTGCTTAAGTTGACAATTTAAAAATTATTAATATACTTACTTCCAATGCTGACAAAATGTAGCTATTGCTGTCATCTATTAGTTGTTGAAGATCTTCTTTAAGTATGCAAAGGAGCATCCCAACCTTGGTATGACACCAACTGAGTTTGCAGAGTTTCTTCACAGAGAGCAAGAGGTCAGTCACTGAGCTGTCTACTGTGTGATCGTAGGTGTCCTCATTAGGAAAATTTCGAAGGTTGAGGAGTATAAAAGCAGTATTTTATTGCATTGAGATTTAGGGATGAATTTTGTTTGTTATATTCCCCCAGCCTGGGAATCAAGTTTGAATTTTGATGATTTGCAACTGGCCTATTAGCATAGGCTGTTCCATAATCCAGTTTGTTTATTTGTTTATTTTTTTACTGATAAGAATTCGTGCATATGTAGTCTACATTTTTGAGCAAGTTTTCATGCTTGCTACATACTTTGGGGAGATCAACAAGCATCAGTGTATTCTGGGAAGAGTTGTATTTTCCAGAATTCACTGAATACTTCTTCTACAGACAATAATTATCACATTACACCACAGTATAGCCTGTTCACTCCTCATAATAGCTGGGGTAGCTGTACTTCATGAGTGATCTGATGTCGAGGAGATTATTTATGTATTTCTTTCTATGTTGTGTTGTCATTTGTTGCTGTTAGGAGTCACTTAGTTTGCCAGCCTGTGCAAGACTGATGTCTGTCCATGACAACTTTCATATGACGTACAAACAGAGATGTGCAGGAAACGACCCAGTGTCCTTTCGACTGAGCAAGTCTTTTTTGTCATTTCATGGCTTTCTGAGGTGAACATACAGCTGATGAGAAACAAATGAGCAAGCTGACAAAAGCTGTAAAATCTTTAAAACCAAGTGCTAATTCACATAAAGTGAAAAGAAAACGTCTGCAGCATTATTTTGACTCAAACATATTATTTAGTTTTAATACCACCTTCTCGCAAGAGAGACACAAATCACACCACGAGCCACACCCTGTATGCAGCTATTGTTTGTTTGTAGTCAGTGCACTTCTCAGTAGCTTTAATCCTAGTTGACAGATTGGGCTGCTCAATCGAGGTAATGGTGCATCATGAGGACCATGTTGAACTTAATTTTTAACCCTGAATCTGAACCTGAATCCCTAGCACCTACTATTTTCTTTCCAGGAATTCCATAATAGTAGCCCAAATAATTTAGCACTCCTGTTCCACACATGTGTCTTGTGTTTCATGCTTAGTTACTCAGAGATATTCGCCTCTATCGTTAGTCTAAAATTCATGTTAAAATGAAGCTCATGCTTGTATGTATGTAGCTTTATTGTTGTAGTTCAATATTTTCCTTGGTTTACATTTTATTTTCTTTTGTTTAAAACTCGTTATCATACATTACCATACCCCAAAACAAAGGAAAATAAAATTTGATCCACAACATAACCATCTCTCACTTTGTATTAGGGTGTGTCTTATGCTTCATATTTGGCTAACTAATACTTGTTGACTTTTCTCACCACTCCCTACAAATCTCATATTTTTGTGACATGTTTTCTAGTTATCTTCGCAGTAAGGATAATTCTGCTGTCAATCCAGAGCATAACACTGTTTATCAGGTAAGCACATGTTTTTCTATCGTTGTGTCTGTCTCCAAATCTGTTTTTTGCCTCATTCTTTTTTTTAAAGCAGCAATTTTTGAAAAGTAAGCAACAGGTTTAATTTAATCTATTGTTAAAGTTGGTTTTTATAAGTGTCCCTCATCTTCTTTGAACACACTATGTAGATTTCAATGAAATGTGAAACCAGATTCTTGTCAAAAATTTTCTAACTAGTCAGACTTACATTTTTTTCTTGTTTCTTCCAAACGTTGAAAAATAGCCTCCAACCTTCAAGGCAAGAAGGAAACAGGTCAAATTAGTTTAAAGTTAACTAAACTAAGCTGAAATGTCTTCTACCCACTTATTTGCAGGACATGGACCATCCTTTATCAGATTATTTTATCAACTCTTCTCACAACACATATCTGACGGGAAGGCAACTGAAAGGCCATTCCAGCCTTGAAGCTTATGTGAGAGCTCTGCTTCAAGGCTGTCGCTGTATTGAACTTGACTGTTGGGATGGACCAGGTACATTAACAACCCTAGAATACCAGAAGTTCCTTTTTAGGGGATAGTGGAGCTAGAAAACGGCATGAAACACACACAAGGACACACAATGTGGGGGCATTGCCCATCTCCCTGTGCACTGCTGTATTGTGTTTCTCTTACTCCACTTTTACTAAGAAACAAGACTACTTGTGATCAACCAACAAAGTAATTGTTAGCAGTTATACTAAATACTTAAACAATCGTAGGAGTTCATCAAACTCATTATCGTCATAATCGTCATCGGACCATTATACAGGGACGGTGAAGTGGGGGGAAGGCTGCCCCAACCCCCCCCCCCACTTTTGGCTTTACCAAAAAAAATAAAGCCTTACTAAGAGGAGAGTCAATTCAGTCACTCGTCAACACCCCCTTCCCAACTCAACTGGTAAAAATGTAAAAATGTTCCGCCGTTCATGTTAAAACATGGTCAACTTCATGTGACGTTTGCAGTTCCACTTTCTTTGTGTAATGCTGAAAGGCGCACCAGTTTAAAAAGAAAACCACCCCAAATCTCTCTTGAACTTGTTTAAGTGGGGGCTGATAGCCAGTCCTTTTAAATAATTAAGGTGCGGACCTGACGTTTTGCTGTATTTAAACTTATCAAGAAAGCATGAACGCAGGCTGAGAGATAGTTGGAGCCAACAACTGCTCTTGAGTGTAGTACGTAACCATGACAACGCTGAGAATGGCATCCACCCAGGCACCATCATGCTGCTAGCCACTGGAAGCTTAATATTCTTACCATATACTTCAAATAGATAGGCTGTGTATATCTTATTTTAGGATATTATCTCTCCATGAAATTAGTGGAAAACGACTTTCGAATAAAGGAAATTAACGCGAAAGAGAGGGCAACATTTCAAAATGATGGAAATTAACACAACGTTCACAAAGAAACAAAACATGTTGAGACAACCGGAACAGTGAAATGGAAACTTTGTTCGTGGTACTTTGCCTAGACGTACGAAGGGAGTCAAGCGAAGAAATCTGGTCACTCCATTGGTTCTTCACAGTTTCACTGTTTACACCACCCTGATAAAATACCTCTCTTTCTTAGGCGTCAAGAATGTCAACAGTGTATCGAGAATTGGGACCCAACATAATGGAAATTAAGGTCGCGGAAATTAGCGCTCCGCTTAATTAACGGCGCGGAAATTAACGTTGACAAAAATTAACGCTACTTATATTGACGCGAATTTGGCATTAAATTCATGAAGCTTTAATTTCGTGTAATAAGGTAGGAAGTAGAGCACTTCACGAGCGTGTGCAGCGTGAAGCAACGTAAAGGCGTGACCTTAACAGGCCCTTGCGGTACTATACAACCACGTTATTTAATCACAACAGAAATTGCATTTTGCCACATTCAATGCTTAAATCTTTTCTCTTCAGATGAACCTGTCATTACTCATGGACTCACGTTAACTTCCAAAGTCAGATTCAGAGATGTGGTTCAAGTTATAAGAGTAAGAAATACATTAATCAAAACCTTATTGTTGCAACAGGACCTCAAAGACAAAATATATGATTCATCGACAAGTTTTGGAAATACAGTAGAGCCCAGGTAACACGAACTCTGAAGGGAAACGAAAAACAGTTCGAGTTAGCGGGCAATTCGAGTTATCCGAGTTCGAGTTATCGGCGTTCTACTGTAACTTTCTTCGATATTCCCCACCGAAAGCGTGCATTTTAGCCCTTCATGTAAGGCGACTTATGGTGAAAAAAAAAATGAGAAAGCAAACCATCTTCCTTTACGTGCCACTTATCTTATTCAAAATTGGGGACAAGATGGCGAACAAACGCAGGCGCACTTATATTTGTCACTTTTTAGCTGTACAGTCTTTTTTGCCAACAGTGTATCGCATGGTGGCCCTTGTACATGTATTGCGATTTGTATGGTAGCGTAAGAAAATGATATCGTGGTCCTTGTGTCATGATTCGTATATTATCTTAAGAAAATGTATAATTACAGCCCTAGAATTGGCACTATACACCGGTCGTGGCTTGAGTAAAGAACTTGTTTTGGTCTTACAAGTCACTTCAACGTAGAATTTTCTAGCTTTTTGCCTGGAACTGGACAATATGTTAACAGTGGCCTAGCGTCACAAAACAAGGAACACTAATCAGAGGTTGCAAATGAATCTGTTTGCTTATTTTTCTAGGAATATGCTTTTGAGACATCCGAATTTCCCTTGATTTTGTCCCTGGAGAACCACTGCAACAAGGAACAACAAGTAAGTCTCCGTTCAATATTATTGCAAGTATTTATAAAACTCATTTGTTTGGTGAGTTCCAAGACCGTTCCTCTCTAAAAACTATGGTGGCATACAGCACGCAGTGATATAAATGGGATGTCCAACAAGATGTTCTTGGCTGATTTTGAATATGTCCTTCACTTGCAGGCTATAATGGCGGACGTTTTTGTAACAGAGCTTGGTGATATGTTGGCCACAACTAACCTCTGTGACGAGCTAGGTGTGGATACACTTCCTTCTCCTAAAGATCTGAAGCGGAAAATTTTGCTCAAAGGCAAAATTAAAACCAAGAAAAAGGTAAAAGTAACATTCGTTTTCTTAAAAACGGCTCATATTTGAAGTAATCAATGGCTATTGTTTTTATTAGTGTTTTAAAATACTGTAAAAACCCGTGAGTAAGAACCTGTTTTGTAAGAACCTTAGGCTAAGATTGCCAGTTAGGTCCCCTCTTTACAAGAACCTGTTTAGACTAAAATTTGAAACAGGCTCTTGTTGTTTAAAATCTATTAAAAAATTCTGTACACTTGGCCAAATAAGATTAGTCAACTTTCAGGACCCTCTTTGGAGACATAGGTGCCTAATCCCCTTCAACTGCAATGTAATGGTTTGTAGATTTTACATGAGAAATAAGCTGAATACCACTAAATACTCATAGCTACAATGTATTTTTTTTCTTAAAAGTGATAACGCTATTTTAGGCAATTTCAGCTCTTACGTCTGAAAGATCACTGAATTGACTTAAATATCAAAATAGATTTTCCAAACTGTAGAACACAGATGAAGTACAAAAGAGCCAAAAACAAGAACGGCCGGATGAGCGAACGTGAAGAAGATTCAAAGGAATTTGCTTTTAGTTAATGTTGAATAAGGGAAAGAATCTTGTTTTATAATTTGTTCTTATAAATCATGCTTGTTTTAAACTGCACATGTATTTCTTCCTTAAGTGTTAACCCTTCGCTTTTTTCCACCACAGCATAAAATCTCAACTTCTATCTGGCCCGGAGTGAATGTCAGTCCTATTATTTCTGTAAGTGCTATCGTTTTAGTAAAAAAAAATTATTGAACTGTGATTCTACTTTTAAGGAATTCGATACCTGTAATTTGATTTGTCTTGGCGAAATTCAGATACCATTGGTTTTTGTGGAATGAAGTGACTCATGGCTGATGAGGTCTTTGTCACAGTATCTGTGTCAGTAGACTCTATTTTGCTGTGCCGTGTTCTTGGTTTTCCAGCAGTTGATTGAAAACTGCGCCAAAATTCAGCCGCAGCCAAGCTAAAAAGTGATGTCTGTCCCAGAGTGCACTTGGAAAAACCACAATTCGTTTGTAGTGACACACAATAAGGAAGAGGACCCTTCAGATTATGCACTGTGCAGTTTGTTTATATAGGGTACACTGTGCAGGCCGACTGTCCATCCCCTCCTTGTACGCAAATTTAAAATGTGATGCTCGAGGCTCGAGGTTTAAACCCTGTTTTATTGATATCCCGTTTTATGTATTTCTTTATTTCTGCTTTTCAACAAAACATTTTAGTTCTTTATCTAAGTTAAACACATGTCATTTTGTATCAGTTAGCAAATTTTACGTCGTAGTCGCGTGATAATGGCAAAGAAATTTCTTTTCTTCTTATTTTATATTTTTTGCTGTATTTTTACATTCGTGTTGCAAATAAATAAATGAAAAATTCATAAAAAGTGTGCTGCAGATGCAGAGTTGTTGTTTTCCTTATTATCCTTTTTCTTTTTGACGTTCTCGTTTTCGTCGTCGTCGTGTTTGCTTAATCTCCGGCGAGTTAAACAGGCCCCGCTTGTGGGTTTGTTTAACCTTTATTAATTGACTTCTTGAAATATTGACTTGTTCTTTTTTTCGTACAGAACATTTCCACAAGAGTGAAAAAAACAAGTAGGGGCGTGCTTATGTCCAGTCAGGTGAGTTTTAAGACCCGTGCAAACGGACGCATTATCGTTGGCCAACAACTCCCAACATTGTTGGATGTTACATGTTGCGTCCGTTTGCACACCCTGTTGCATGTTGTTTGATGTTGTAGCGCAAAGTTTGAAACCCGGTCAAACTTTTCAGCCAACAACTCCCAACAATTCTTTTGTTCCGTGATCGCCAAAGCGTAGCGCAAAATGTTGGATCCGTTTGCACACCCTGTTGCATGTTGTTGCGTCTTGTTGGGAGTTGTTGCGCAAAGTTTGAAACCGGTCAAACTTTTCAGCCAACAACTCCCAACAATTCTTTTGTTCCGTGATCGCCAAAGCGTAGCGCAACAATGTTGGATCCGTTTGCACACCCTGTTGCATGTTGTTGCGTCTTGTTGGGAGTTGTTGCGCAGAGTTTGAAACCGGTCAAACTTTTGAGCCGGCAACTCCGAACATTTCTTTTGTTCCGTGATCGCCGAAGCATAGCGCAACAATGTTGGATCCGTTTGCACAGCTCCTCCAATATTGTTAGGGCTACGCACGCTCATTACACATGGTCTACAAAGTCTTATGGGTTGTATCCTTCCCACGATGCACTGCAGGTCCCAACATTGTTGGAAGTTGTTATATGCGTTTGCACGTAGCTTTAAGGTGATGTTAAACGAGACGATTCGTAACGACGATTTTTAGCGCAACACAGCGTTGCAACATTGTTGCGACATTGTTTCGAATGGTTTGCAACATTGTTCTAATATTGCAGCGCTGTTTTGCGCTACAAATCGTCGTTGCGAATCATTCCGTGTAACATCACCTTTAATCGATGTAGGTTTGCTCTTAAGTGCAACTGTTGTTTTCGTATGTATTTACTAGTTCATGAAAGTGAAAATCAAACACACCTATTGGTAAAAATGTTTTCTTTTCGTCATCAAATGACACATTTCATGTTTGTTCCTCTTAACTGTATTATTTTGAAGTCCCCATGTTCCGTTCCAGTTATGGTATCATGGTGTGACAGGACACCCACGAGCAACGTACTACATCACGGCAGTCACTTCTTTTGTGTTTTGCAGAATCAGAAAAAACATTTTTTCTTTAAAAAATAATAAAAGCAAGTATTGACTTTCGAAAGTAGTTCATGCAGAGGTATCGCCTGATAGCTTACTTGCCTTCTGCTTCTTTCCTCTGTTTTGTCTTTTCATTTTGTTTTTGTTTTTGTTACTTTTTGACATTTTTTAATTAGTCACTCACGTGGGTAATGGCGTACAGGTAGCTGTTGAATTGTCTTGGTAACACACTGAAATCTTTCTTTTTTGCCGCAGTCAGAAGCAGTTTTTACAAGATCAGAATCAGCAAATTCTCTCAGTTCAGGTCGGGTGCGATCATTAACAAATGCAACGATTGCGACGGTGGTAAGGCATTATGAACTGTGTTAATAAACAAGTCATGTATGTAATTGTTACATAGCTGGAATTTTTTTCCCAACATAGTGCGCTGCATTGGTTACTTCAAGGTTACATGACTTCTAGCAATAAACTGTTTCCCGCCAAAAGTTTCTAAGCGAGTAACTTTGCAAAATCCGTGACGTCAGAGTGTGTCGGTGCACTGGTTTTCGCTAATGATGGCCACTCGCTGAGATTTACTTTCATAAATTGGTACACGTGGCAGGTTTTTCTTCGAGGGCTATTTAATTTTTCCCTCGGGACCAATCATAAAATAAGAGTTCAATATATGATAGATAAACATGTTACGTTCTTAAGACAAAAATAATTGCGTGTCTGATGGTAGTCGAATCATTGACCCCGAGCAAACCATTCTGATGTCAGTAAAGCTGGTGTCAGTTGTATGTCATTTACTACTAGGTGTGGGTTAGCCTTCCACGCGGGCGTTTTTAGGGGAGCTCGTTTTTCATCGTGTGTCACGCGTTCTGTTTACTACAGAAAAGAAAGGGTTGGATTCACAGAAACCATTCAACTATGGGGGGACGGGTGGTAACTTATCCGACTAAGTGGCAGCCTAGCAATTCTCTGAAAAGCAACTGAACACATTTCTTTATAAGAAAACTGTTAATGACAATTTAACGTTAAGTGCTTTTGAATATCTGTAGTGTTAGCTCCATGTGAAGTGCTCAATGTTGTTGTGGTCGTTGTTGTTGTTATTATTATTGTTGTTGTTGTTGTTATATGCAAGGCCGCTTATGTACTTATTTTGGTTTCTCGTTCGATTCATAACAGGGCTCAACAAGTGAAGATCAGTACAGTATAGTAAGTACCTTGCACTGCTGTTATCCTCATGTGGTAAAGTTTATTCGAGGGTGACAATAGTTCGTGATATTCATTACAGAGCGAAGAGGAGTTCTGTTTGATTTTGATTCCAATTTAATCGAGCTCTGCGAAATCATGAAATTGTTTTGGACTTTCAATTCAAAACAGCTCTTTCTTAAAGTGTTGTACATGACAATGATTACATCGCCGTTAGTGATTTGGACTGTGTTTTTGTAGGTTCCGTTGGAAGATTCCATGGGCAAACTAATTGTATATTGTCGTGCAGTGCCTTACAAAAAGCATGAAATCTCAGGTGACTGCTGTGAAATGTACTCTTTCAATGACGGCTCTGCGCAAGATTTCATCACAGGTCATCCTCGAGGTACAGTGTAAATTTATACACCACTTCATCAAGGCCATTTAAGATGTTTTCTTTTTTTATATAGGATTTTTTTCTTTTTACAAACAGACATTTGAGCATAAGAATGTGACCTCTGTGGAGATATGCAAAGTAATTTTTGAAGGTTATTTTTCCTGCACGCAACAACTTAATGAAAATTTTTAGCTACCAAGTTTTTCAAATGCGTGTTGGTTATCTTTAAAGAAGAACAACTTCATGCCGAATGCGGGGTGAGATTAAAGAACTTCTGTTTCTGCCCCCTAGTTCAATGTTGGTTTTTTCGAGTTGGCATGTCAGAAACAAAAAAATCAACACTGGGAGGGGAGGAGCACAACTTTTTGTCGGAATATGGGTACAGCACGGGGGTGTCCCAACTTCATAAACCAGAAACGCAAGCACAGTGAGATACGCATGCGGATTTGAGTATCACAAGATAGAAACTAATCGGATGCATTGGAAAATGAACCACCTCAACGCAACATAAACGCAAGGTTCAACCCATGAAACGGAAGATTTCCATTTTATTACGCTTTCTTTGTGGGCGAGCACTGTTGAGTTCGTTGCTGATTCTCTCCTTTGCTCCGAGAGGATTTTTTTCCGGTACTCCGGTTTTGTCCTCTCCTCAAAAACCGACATTCGAGTAGGAATACGGTAGACGATGAACTACGAAGTGGATGTACTACTGACGGCTTTCCTTTTTCTCGATAGATATTTTGTCGTTGGCTAATAAGCACATTGTGAGAACATACCCCAAAGGATCAAGAGTCGATTCCTCAAACTATAACCCGCTGGTCATGTGGAACGCCGGACTTCAGATGGTGGCCATCAACTTTCAAAAGCCAGGTATTATATATTTCACCGATGTGGTTTTCAAGTGACATTTTTTCATGAAATGCTTCGTTTGCCATCGCTCGACCGACCAATTTTTGGGAAAAATGCAGAAAAGAGAACAATTTTCTTAAATTAATCCAAGAGCAAGACATCCTTTTCTTCTATTAAATCAAACGTAGCTTTCCATTCATAAGCGTTTGTATAAATGTATTGCAGTTGAGACGGGTTCGTGTAAGGAAACGTGAACAAGACATCTCGCCATCTTCTCTTCACATATTCTAAATGCCCTACTCTAACGATTTGAAGAGTGTGATTCTGACGCTAGTTATAACTTTATTTTACGTGACCGACCTAGCCACTTAAACGAAACAGAGGCTGATACAGAACGAGTGGCCTAACCGGTTTCTTCCTTTGGATCAATTCCTGTTTTCTTTTTTTTGCTAGACTCTGGCATGCATCTCAATCAAGGAAAGTTCAGGAAGAACGGTGGATGTGGTTACATTTTAAAGCCGGATTCTTTGAGAAACAGGGGTAAGTCAGGCAAAAGCAACAGAAAGTGAGTTCACCAAGAGCAGTAACTTATGCATTGCTTATACAATAGCCCATGTTCGATATATTAAAATTCTAAGATGGCTGAGGCTTTCTGGTCATTTTTCTATATTTGATTTGGTTTTCTTTACGTTCAAGTCTCTTCTGGGAATTGCGAGACAATGGAGTTAAAAATTTGCAATTTTCTCCGTAAAGCCTCAGAGTCATGTTAGAATTTTAATATATCGAACGTGGGCTATTCTCAGGTTTCCAGGTCCCCAACCACGGGGATATGAAATAATGGTTGACTCTTGTTCAATTCACCTCCCTCCCCACATAAGAGTGTTAAATTTACTAAGCTCAGTCTACGCGCATTGTGATTGGCAATCCTTGTGCTTAATTCTCTTCTTTTACATGGCATCCTTTCCTGATCTTTTGTTATTCTTGCATTTCTTGACAGACAAGTCTAATTATTACCCAATGATTAAGGAAAGTCCGAAAGGTGGAAAGTCATGTTACTTCACAATAGAGGTAAACTCCCCAGTCTGTAAATAAGACGGAGAATGGTAGTCAAGTAGTCGGTAGAAACGATAAGATCCTTGTTAGCGCTTTTTTCAACTGAAGTTTTCCATATTTTTAACAATTTACTTTACTATGTACTTGTGTTTAACTGGGTTAATTGCGCGCTTTAATGTCAGGTCTTGTCGGGACAGTATTTACATGGCGACGAAGATTCCCAGCTTCCAATACGTGTTGATGTGGAGACAGTTGGTGTCCCAGAAGACTGTGGTATACTAAGCACCGAGGTTAGACAACTTTTTGTTAAGGTTAACCAACTGAGAATAATGGATCAGAAAGGAAATCTTAGGGCTTTGACCGGGATATGTGAATTTCACTTTAAGTTATTACTAGAGGTTTTAATTGAACTGAAGTCTAATTTCTGGAACGTCAGCACATTTTGATCGGTTACCTCAGAGCAAACAGTGCAGAATATTGTAATAGCGACACTCCAAGAGAGCATAATTTCCTATTATTCTTCCTTGACAACACAGAATAAGAGTTTGCGAACCTCTCCGAAAACCAACTTCCGATTAACTTCAAGCGTTTAATTGGCATAAAAATAACGTTGGTGACATTCACATATCCAAAGAGCTAGACTAGGCGTTTCCCCCTTTGTTCCATTATTCTCTCTTGGGTTGACCTCGCTGAAACAAACGTAACGGCAAGACAGGCTGTAAGTTTTCTGTGGAAAGTTTGATACTTCACCATCCAGTTGTTATAGTTATATGCTGCAGTTAAGCTTTTTCCTCGATTTAAATGTTATTTTTCTTTGGTATTGCGTATGTTGATGTATGATAAAAGGGCCTTTTGTAACTTACAAAATGTCAGGTCACCTGATCAACTTTCTGTAAGCACGGCAACAATTCTTTTTGGAAAAATTGATTTCAGCAACAGCTAAAAGAGCATATAAAAATTAGGTAACTTGTAAATTTTCAACCGTATATCCCAAAAGTAGCGATTGCAACGGCCGCCGAAAGTTATAAGGATTTGCATGGGAAAAGCAGCTATTGCCACCCAGTCACAGTTGAGTAGTTTTCCATTCAGATGCCTGTAAATGTCGAAATTTTTAAATTGTCGTAAAATCTTTCCCTGACGCATTACAGGGCTCGAATTTTCTGCTATAAACAGGAAATTTGAAGACGAGATGAAAACGGTTGCGTAGGAGGTTAAGTCGCGGTTACCATTTCTTCATTCAAATTATTTTACGACGTCCCCCACTTCTACACATCCTCTCTTGCTTTTGATCAATATTTTCAAATAAAATGGTATGATCTATCAAACAATACGCATCATTTAAATCGAATCTAAATTCAAATTTTGATTTGTTTTTTCTTTTATTTGACAGCCCACTATGGACAAACTGAATCCGCAGTTTCATAATGCCAAGCACCTCTTTAAAATCATTATGCCAGAGCTAGTAAGTGTGGTATATTTGACTGATTTGATAAATCACCGCAGTTCATTCATTGTCCTGTACGTAGATTATTGCGTTTAATTGATTTCAGTCTTTGTAATCAGTAATGTATACTGCCATATATGGGCTCTATACTGGTATAGGCTAAGGGTTCCAGGGTCCCAGCGGCACATCCTCACCCAAAAATTCCTAAAGTAACCCCCGGGACCAGGGGATAATAACCAAGAGAACACAGCACTGGAACGAGTCCTTTCTTTAGTTTATTAATTACTAATTGTTTTTCTTTTAAATTTCAGTGCCTTGTTTACTTCAAAGTTCAATTGTTAAGCAGCAATAAAAGTAGGATACTAAGGCTGCTTTTTCAAGAAGTTATCTCTTTGGACAGCCTTAGATCAGGTAAGGATCATGATTGACTGTTATAATTGACAGCCATGGAGTGGCCAATCATAGCCAAATTATGGAAATAATTAAATAAATCAGAACCAGTAAAACAACAACATCAAAAAACATGTAGTTGACGGCAAGGGCCCGAAAACGCGTGTTAACGACGTCTTGTGTTTGGCAGGAAAACGTCGCGTCAGTTTCAATCTTGACGTCGCAACTACGGAAATATTTCCGCAGTTGCATGGCGTCGGTTCCAAGAATTTGCGTCGAGAAATATGTGCCATTTTGGTTTGGTAAGAATTGTCGGGAGCAAATTTACAGCATTTACAGCATTTAGCATTTTTCTTTCCTCCGCAAAAAGAAACAAGAGAAACCTTTTGAAATTCCAGTTTGATTCTCAGAAATAGTCCGTGTTAAGATTTTTATTTGTTTTCACTCAGTTTTGATTTATTTATCAGGAATCCGCTACATCCGTCTTCGAAGCCTGACTGGTGTTGAGATTCCTCACAGTGGTTTGTTTGTTCGTATGAAGCTTCAGGATTTTCAACCCGCCACTTTTGAAGTCAAGGGTACCTCACGAGAAAGGCTTCTGACATTTTAGACTGATTTTTACTGAATTTTATTTTTCTGAAACTTACCTTTAACTCGCTTGACTCACAGAGTTGCAGCTCAGTGAAGTCATTCAGTGAAGTCAATGAGTCCTCTCACATTGAACATTGAAATCAATGTTTCAATTTGGCTCATTACCTGCTGGGCCATTTAACCAGTAAAAAGACGTGCGACTGAGGTGGGCTTAAGTTAGACTCAGTTAATTGTGATCCGCCAGGATCTGTCTCTATATCGCCTCATGTAAAGTACTTCGGATTGCAGAATTCTAATCCGGGAAATTTTTGCTTGTGGAATCCGCAATCCTAGGCTTTGGAATCCGTAATTCAGCTCAGGGAATCCCGAATCCCGTTAACGATTCGAATCCGGAATCCAAATTCCACTGAGAACGAATCCGGAATCCAGTACTTGGGATCCGGAATCCACAGCGTGAAATGCCGAATCCAAGACCGTCTTGGATCACCTTACATGGGTCCGCGATCAATATGTTAAGTTTTAAAAAAAGACTTGCCGGCGGAATAGCTTGTTATAGTTTAATCGAACATAACTGACAGTGTTAATTTGGTCCAAAACCATTCTTAAGGGTAATTGTGGGGAAACCCTTCTTACGTTTTAAATGGAACTGAGATTTTTTGTTTAGTTTGACTTGCTCGAAAAAGTTGTGAAAGGTGCATTTCATTTTTATTGGAGTTTGTGTTTATTTCTGTTTTGCGAGGTAATGGGAAAGGTAAATAACTTATATTAGGTTTTTAATGAAACATTAATAACTCTTATTTTATTCAGATTGAAGTGGTTTACATGAACAAAGGATGATGATATATTTTTGTCATTTTGTTAACGGTTATCATGATAGAAAAACGTACCATATCTCTATTTTCTTTCATATCGGTCGTTTTTAACTTCGTTTTGCACATTTTTTGACATTTTTCGATATGCATGCGTGCGTACTTAAGTTTCCTCAAGACAAACGTGCAATTTTTGGGGGGATCACACCTTTGTATCTTAAAATGACCAACCAAAACCTTTCGCTTGATTGTAATATAATTCAGAGGAAAATGTTTTTAAATCATTGTCCGTCAAAGTGTATCATACGTTCATATCAAGGATCTGTTGAGTTTAATACATATCTTTATCAAAAGGAATTATTGTTACTTCTACTTTTTTAAGTAGTAAAAAATACTTTGAGTGT